CACAGAAGGGGAACTCATCAACACCCTTTTTCTTCATTCCAACGTCATAAATCCTGATCTTAGGATCAGGCACACCACGACAGTACCGCGACTTTGGGTATGGCTTGTTCTTGATTTGACGATAGCACCTGGCCGGTCCTGAAAGGAAAAGCACTAAATAAAATCCACTGGAGCAAAATTGTATATTGTAAACATTCGTCTCATGGATCAAGAAATATCTAAAAATGCCCCAAAAAAATGGTTGTACTACTGCTCGACATTTGACATTGGAGAATCAAATACCACGAAACCATATTTGAATTGAAGATCTATTCTGGGTTCCTATTTCATCGAGTTTTGTCCAAAAGTGACTATTTTGAATAAAAGTTCCTTGGTCTAATAATTCCAAACTACCTAACCCTTGCAACATAGTATCAAACTACTTATTCAGACAAGATCACATCTCGACAGGCAATTCCTATTCCTCAATTATTTTCCGACAGAGTTCCAAAAAATTTCAATAAGAGCAGGTAAGAAGCATCATACGCAAATTCAGACCGATTAACACCCAGGTACAACTAATTGGAAAACATATGCACATCACGAACAATGATATCGGAAAAAGCAAAAAATAAATCTTAATAAGACCTACATAAAAACATATATCCAAAATCACAAGCTCAGAAAAACATAAACAGCTGCCGAATCGAATCGAACAGAAAGCGATTTACCAAAAGAAAATTAAACGAACAAACAAATAAAAGGCTTAGCATCTTTGTTAGGTTATCATCAAAGAATACACATCTACAAACAATTTGCGATAAATTAACAAGCAAGACGAAGCCTACTTCTCCCCATCTCAACGCTCCAACAGTCAATCCGGCCGCGGCTGCAGGTCACCAACACCCGAAACCCTAGAAAAATAGTGTATATATCCTTATATAAAAATAATCAAAAATAATTTCTAAAATATATGCTATATAAGAATAAAGTAATATATGTTATATAATATATAACAAAATATGAAATTACTATTACTAATAATATATATAATATATAGATATTGTAATATATATAGATATCTAATAAAGTATGTGTATATATATATATATGTATATAAGAGAGAGAGGAAGAGTAAATGAAGGGTGTGTTTGTTTGGGGGTTTGGATTTTGGATTGGGATTTGAATAGTAAAAATTTTGAATTTGAATAGTTGTATGATGTGATATAAATAGGTGTTGATGTGATGTTTTGAATGTAAAATTGATTTTTAGTATAATATAAAAAATGAAAAATAGGTGTTTGATTTGATGTTTTTGGGGGGAAAAAATTGGATGAATAGTGAAAATCCTCCAAAATCCTTCAACCAAACACACCCGAAGAGTATCCTTTCCCATTTCTTATGGCATATTTATAGTCAAATTACGTTGATATTAGTCATTATAATTGATGACTTGACAACATAATTGCATGACACATATAAATAAGTAAATATGAGTTATAGCACTCCGTGTCATTTAATTGCAATGAATACGCCTCGTTAAAACCTTACTAAGAAAAAATTCAATGGGACAAAACTCCTAGTTATGGAGGAAAAAATTCAATGGGACAAAACTCTTAGTCAAGGAAAAAGAGTACGTCATTCATGCATTAAAAATACTTCCCTTGATGTGGACATCACTTGAAATATCGCTCCCCCTGATGTTGACATTACTTGAAATATCGCTCCCCTTGATATGGACATCATTTGAATTCTTCCAACCGATGCATCCCAATGATCTTTACCAATTTCTCGAACGTTGCGGTCGGTAAAGCCTTGGTCAACAAGTCTGCTAAATTTTGGTCTGATCGAATTTGTTGCACATTTATTTCACTATTTTTCTGGAGATCATGAGTAAAGAAAAATTTCGGTGAAATATGTTTCGTTCTATCTCCCTTGATATATCCTTCTTTCAGTTGTGCTATACACGCTGCATTATCTTTGTACAAAATAGTATGAGGATTATCATTTTCAGATTTCAAACCACAATTCTGTAAAATATGGTGAATCATTGATCTTAGCCAAACACACTCTCTACTGGCTTCATGAATTGCTATTATTTCTGCATAATTTGAAGATGTGGCGGTTAATGTTTGTTTAGTGGATCTTCAAGATACCATTGTACTGCCACAAGTAAACATATAGGCAGTTTGAGACTTGGCAGATAAAAAAGATACCCAGCATCTGCATATCCAATCAATTCATGTCGAGATCCTTTTGAATATAATAGACCAAGATCAATAGATCCTTGGAGATAACGAAAAATATGTTTGATTTCTTTCCAATGTCGTTGTCTTGGTATTGCACTAAACCTGACCAATAAATTTACAAAAAACGCTATATCTGGTATAGTACTGTTAGCCAGATACATTAGTGCACCAATAGCACTTAAATATGGTACTTCAGGACCAAGTGCTTCCTCATTCTCCTCTTTTGGTCTAAAAGGATCTTTAATATGATCGAGAGTTCTAACGACCATTGGAGTACTCAATGAATGTGCTTTATCCATTGCAAATCGTTTTAATACCTTCTGGGTATATGCAGATTGATGTATCAAAATCCCATTTTCCAAATGTTCAATTTGTAGACCATGACAAAATTTCGTTTTTCCGAAATCTTTAATTTCAAACTCCCTTTTCAAATATTCAATAGCTTCTTGGACCTCTACAGGGGTTCCAATTAAATTCAAGTCATCCACATAGACAGCTATTATTACAAAATTTCTCCCATTTTTCTTTATAAAAATACACGGACAAATAGAATCATTGGCATATCCCTCTTTCAATAATGATTCACTGAGACGATTATACTACATGTGACCAAATTGTTTGAGCCCATACAAAGACTTTTGTAACTTAATAGAATAACATTCTTTTGACTTTGATTTATATGCATCAGACATACTAAATCCTTCAGGGATTTTCATGTAAATATCACTATCCAACGAGCCATATAAATATGTAGTTACAACGTCCATCAAACGCATATCCAAATTTTCATGTACTGCCAAACTGACAAGATATCGAAATGTTATTCCATCCATTACTGGAGAATATGTTTCATTAAAATCAACTCTAGGTCTTTGTGAAAAACCTTGGGCAACAAGTCTTGCTTTATATATGGCAATTTCATTATTCTCATTTCGCTTTCGAATAAATACCAATTTATAGCCAACAGGCTTAACACCTTCAGGTGTTTGAACAATGGGTCCAAAAACTTTTCGTTTTGCTAGTAAATTTAATTCAGACTGGATCGCATCTTTCCATTTTGGCCAATCTATTCTTTTCCGAAATTCATCAACTGATCTAGGTTCTGGATCATCGTCATTTTCTATTATATCAAGTGCTACGTTATATGCAAAAGCATTATCCATAATTGTATCACTTCGGTTCCAATGCTTTCTAGTAGTAACATAATTTATTGAATTTTCAATAATTTCATTCTCTTCAGAAGAAATTCTATTAGGATTAACATCCTCATTAAGTTTATCAGGATCAATTTCTCTAAAAATCTGATCCATGTTACTACATGTTTCTTGAGGGTTTTGATTAACATTCAAATCATCAACCATTTCATATGTTCCTCTTTTCTTTCGAGGATTTTTATTTTTGAAACCTACAGGTCTGCCACGCTTTAGGCGTACATTTGATTCATTAGCACTTTGTATTTTGTCTTCAGGAATAACAATTTTAGCAGGTACATTTTCAACAGCTATATAAGATCTAGTGACCCTGCTGGCGTCACAAAAAGCATCAGGCAACTGATTTGCTATTCGCTGCAAATGTAAAATTCTTTGTACCTCTAATTCACTTTGACTTGTACGAGGATCAAGAAAACTGAATGGTATTTTTCAAGTAATTTCCTTTTTCAGTTGATCAGTTTCTCCCCCTAATATCGGGAAATGCGACTCGTCAAAATGACAATCAGCAAAACGAGCCGTAAACGAATCACCAGTTAATGGTTCAAGATATTTAATGATAGATGGTGATTCGTACCCGACATATATCCCCAATTTCCGTTGGGGGCCCATTTTTGTACGTTAGGGCGGTGCAATTGACACATAAACTGCGCATCCAAAAGTTCTCAAATGTGCAATATTGGGCTTTTTATTGTACACTAATTGTACTGAGGAGTAGCTATGATAGCTTGTCGGTCTTAATTTTATTAGTCTTGCTGCATGCATAATTGCATATCCCCAAGCAGATACAGGAAGTTTGGATTTCATTAGCCCAGGTCTTGCAATTAATTTCATTTTTGCCTTCTATATCGCCTCAACTTTCAGAATTTACAGCTGTTTTAGTTTTCATTGTTCCACATCTACACATTTGTTTGTAGAGATTTATTTTTACGCTTGGAATAAGAAACATATTATAGCTGTGTTCCTTTATTTTTTGGTTAATTTTCATAATTTTTTTTATAGTAATAAATCGCTTCACTCACTATTTAAATCGAGACCCTATATATAAATTATGCAACTATTGTGTTTTCAGACATGACGATAAGTCATTTTGACAATCTGGGTGTCGTCGTTTACTTTCGTACCATGTATACATTAAGGTTGCGGTTTCACCTCAAATCAGCATCAAGATGCATTAATGATTAATCAATCTATATGTTATGTTTTTTCTTTTTTTTTTTTTTTTTATGGGTTTCAAAAAATTTAGTAATATATGATACAAAATTTTGTGAAAGAAAAAAAAAATATTTTTTTTTCAAAAATGGCAAAATCCAAAGTAGCTGAAAGTTAGATGAGAAACTGGTTTAGAAATTAGAATAAAAGGAAACAAATCTAACAAAAGATTGCGAAATTAGAATGAAAAGAAACAGACCTAACAAAAGATTGCGGCGATGGTCAACAGCAGAAAGTAAGCTTTAAGCTCATTCATGGCGTCGACACGTGTCACAGCCCATACTCCTCACGTCTCTCTTCATAGTTGACTGGAAATTTCTTCAGACAGTACGGTCTGCAAATTGTGTTCAGACCATGGCCTCACCTGCCCGAAAACGATACCCCAAATTCTGTATACATTCAGACAAACTCCAATTCCAGCCTCTGTTCTTCACAACCACAAATGGGTTTCGGTTTCGGTTTCGATTTCGATTTGGGTTTCTTCATCTTCCTCTGTTCATCCTCATGTTTCAAATTCACTCCTTCCCTGTCTGAATCTCCTCCAAATTCAATTACCGCCGATCAGTTAGCCCTGTCAGAATTCAAGAACCAAATAACAAATCCAGACACTATCCTCGCCAACAATTGGACTTCCGACACCTCTGTCTGCTCCTGGATTGGCGTTTCCTGCAGCCCCGCCGTCGGTCCACGGCGGCGCGTCATTTCCCTGATTCTCCCCGGCCTGAATCTCCGGGGACCAATCTCCCCCTCCATCGGAAACCTCTCTTCCCTCTCCACACTCGACCTCAGCAACAACAGCTTCCATGGCAGCCTCCCCGACAACCTAGTTCTTCTCCCCCGCCTGAAAAGATTCAATCTTTCCGGCAACCATTTCGCCGGTCCGATCCCTCCATCCCTCTTCAACTTATCCTCTCTCCTTTCTTTAGACCTCTCCAACAACAACCTCACCGGAGAATTCCCTCCGACCTTATGTCGATCCTTCGACTTGACCACATTAGACCTTTCTTACAACAATCTCACCGGAAAAATTCCTCCGGACATCGGCTGCCTGTCGAAGCTCGAACGCCTCTATTTCACCGATAATCGAGTTTCCGGCACTATCCCTCCTTCCCTTGGCAATGTCTCCACTCTGCGGCTATTAGGCTGCGTCGGAAACCGAATTCACGGCCGTCTTCCTCGCGAGCTCGGCCGGCTGCCGAATTTAGAAATGCTCGGATTCGACTACAACAACCTCACCGGCAAAATCCCACCGGAGATCTTCAACATCTCTTCATTAGTATACATTGCCCTGACGGATAACAACCTCTCCGGCAGGCTTCCGGTGACTGCCGGCATTCGCCTTCCGAACCTGCAAGGCATTTACTTAGCTGATAATACACTCACCGGCGACATTCCACCGTATATAACAAACGCCTCGCGGCTGAAAGAGCTCGAGTTGTCGTACAACATGTTCGATGGAATAGTGCCGAGCAATCTCGGCGATCTCCGGGATCTTGTTTTCGTTAATCTCGGAGGCAATCGTCTTCGGAACGAGCCCGGAAAATCGGAGCTTCGATTTGTCGACACCATGGTAGAATGCAGAAAGCTTCAGTTTCTTATAGTAGGGAACAATCCTCTTGATGGAACTCTTCCTGATTCTGTTACGAACCTTTCGACCTCCGTCGAAATGTTCAACATCGAGAACGGCCGTGTTCGTGGCCGGATTCCCGCCGGAATCGGAAACATGACCAGAATGACGGCGTTGCTTCTCAATGGCAATCGGCTGACAGGCGAAATACCGACGGAGATCGGTTATCTGAAACAGCTGCAGAGGTTGTACTTAAATCGAAACATGCTGCGAGGGCGCATACCGGTCGAGCTATGCGACTTAGTTTGGCTAGGCTATTTAGTCCTGTCCGAGAACGATCTTTCGGGTTCTTTGCCGAGCTGCGTGGGAAATCTTCGACGATTACAGAGACTGTTCTTAGAATACAACAGATTCGCGTCGAGCTTGCCCTCGAGTCTATGGGAAATTCGAACTCTTTTGTTTTTGAACATGTCAAATAATTTGCTTCAAGGAGAGCTGCCGGAGGCGATTGGTAATCTGGTGACGGTGCAAGAGATCGATCTTTCGAATAACCGTTTGTCGAGTGTGATTCCAAGCCGGTTCGGGGAGCTTGTTGATCTGAGGTATCTGTCTCTTTCGAACAACTCGTTTAATGGTTCAATTCCATCGTCGTTTGGGGATCTTACGGGCTTGGAATCATTGGACTTGTCGTTGAATAAGTTATCAGGTGCTATACCGTCGTCGTTGGCGAATCTGCGATACCTTAGAGACATTAATCTGTCGTATAACGATCTCCTTGGCGAAATACCGGCTGGTGGTGTGTTTTCGAATTCATCTCCTCGATCGTTCGAAGGGAACGGAGGTTTATGCGGCGATGTTTCGTTGCAAGTTCCTCGTTGTCGTTCTAACAAAAGTTCGAAAGGATCGAAGTCTAGGAGTCGAGTTATTAGCATTGTTGTTCCGGTGGTCATTTCGATGACGATAGTAATGTTCTTGTTGTTCTGTTGGATTCGAAAGAAACGAAGACGCGTAAAACAGGGGAATCCCGAGCATGTCGCGATTAGGCCTCACCAAATAATATCGTATAAAGAAATTCTGCGCGCCACGGATGGATTTAACGACGCGAATCTGCTCGGGATAGGCAGCTCAGGCTCGGTGTATAAGGCTGTTCTTCGCGATCAAACGGTTGTCGCTGTGAAGGTTCTTAATATGATCGAAGAGGAGACGTTACGAAGAAGATTTGATGCAGAGTGCGAAGCGCTGAGACGAATCAGACACAGGAATCTCGTCAAGGTTATCACGACTTGCTCCAACGGTGACGATCTTAGGGCCATTGTTCTCGAGTTCATGCCGAATGGAAGCCTCGATTGCTCGTTGCATAAACAGGACTGTGTGTTGGATCTCGTCGCGAGACTTGAGATCATGCTTGATGTGGCGATGGCAATCGAGTATCTACACCACAGTGGCGACTCTCCGGTGGTTCATTGCGATCTCAAGCCGGCGAATGTTTTGCTCGACTCGGAAATGGTTGCTCGTGTTAGCGACTTCGGCATCTCGAAGATATTATCCGAAAACAAGTCGATTGTGCGAACACGGACTCTAGGGACGCTCGGCTACATCGCTCCAGGTACAAAAAAATTCAACACAATGCTGACAGTACATTATATAACAAAAGATAATACATGATATAAGTCCTATAAGGGATAGTCTGGTGGTGTAGGGTTTGGACTTGTGACCGTGAGTGAGTGAGGTCAAGGTTCAAATATGTTGATTTCTCTAATAAACAAAATAACTCCTCCCGAGTTAAAATTATTTTAAGTTTTTTTTTTTTTTTTTTTTTTTTTTTTTTATAATCGAATCGATGTATTGCAGAGTACGGTTCGGATGGGACAGTGTCCACGGCCGGCGATGTTTACAGCTACGGCGTAATGGTGATGGAAGTGCTGACGAGACGAAGGCCAACCGATGATTTATTCGATGACAATCGAAGCCTGAGGCAATGGGTAAGAGCAGCTTATCCCGACTCTTTGAGAGAAATTCTCGACTCCGATCTTTTCCTGCAGGACGAAGGCGAGCTAAATGTTCAACGCGATGAATGCCTCCTCTCTGCAGTCGAGCTTTCTCTTGACTGCACAGAGGAGGCGGCCGGCGACAGAATCGACATTTATGAAGCTGTGGTCAGGCTTAGGAAGATCAAACATAAGTTCTTACATGGCAAAAAGGAAACATGATCTTACTCTGACTAACAATTATTACGATACATATATGTTAGAAATACCAAGGCATAGATCGTTTTCTAATGTAATGTTCATGCTTTTATTGGTTTGTCAAAGAGACACGAGTTGAAAACATTGTTCAATCTTGGCTAATTAAATATGTAACCTTTCAAAATAATAATTAGTAGTAATATATTCAAGATTTTGGCCATGGTTGGTGATCCGGGCTGTTTTTCTTGAAGATGGAATTAACTAAGTAAATAGTTAAATTTAAATCTTTTATTATTTTTAGTGTATAAGGTTTGTATAAATAGTAAATTGCATAATATGCATGTTTCTATATATATCTCAGGAAAAATGCACAATAAATTTTATTTATTATATAAATTTCTTTGCATTAGCTTAAAGTTTTATTCAAAATAATGACTAAGAATTATTTGACTATTAATTACATTTTCAATATATAATTGTATTAATAAAATTATATTTTGACAGCTTATTTCTCCATTCTTATTTAAGAAATCAAGTTATATAAATTTCTAATATTCCGGTTTAAAAATCTTGAATGTTGATTGTTTTGTACTTAAACCGAAGTATTAGAAATTTTAAAAAAATATCAAACAAAAATTCAGATCCACACTTAATTTCAAAATAATTAATTTCAAACCACGAATTAAAAAAAAAAAAAAAACTCAAACTCAAATTAATTAAGTGTAGTATTCATTAAAAAATCTTTAACATTGATAAGCCTATCTAAGGAGGTAGGCTTTTATTAAAGTTAGGATGCATGCATGCATGCATGCATGCATTGTTGTTTGATAAATGAATTAAATTTCCAGTGGAATTGTTATGCACCTTCCGCTTAATGATAATCAACTTTTTGTTGAAAAAATTTAGATTGTTAGTCAACTTTAGTGACACCATCATTGATAAAATAATATATATATATATATATATTATATCATATTTGGGTGGTCTTTATAATGAACATCTCCAAATCTTTTCACCTAACGCACCACATATATATATATATATTTCCTAAGTCAACTTCTCATGCATTGGCTAATAATACAATTAAATTTTGATATTAATGGATTATGTAACGCTTAATTCGGATTGCAATGGTCTTGGTATAAATCATGTCAATGAATTTTTAGTTGGAGCTTGTACACATTGTTATTTTTTATTTTTTTATTTTTTTATTTTATGACGTGGGAATTCGCAGCCGCTGTCCGAAAGTGCACACTGAGTAAACCCCCGGCCGGACCTAATACCCCCTGCATAATAGGCCCAACAGACAAGTCACACTAGTTAAACATTGGTTTTTCTATATATTTGGCGTGGTATATAAACTACATTCCACTGGAGATTAACAAATTGTGAATCTAATGTTAAGCATCTATATATATATATATATATATATAGAAGTAAGTAAGAAATTACAATAATAAAACTCACTAATAATCCAATTCTTTGTTAAATGATTGTACTATGTATATTTCATTTTAACAAAAAAAAAAAAACTTAAAATCCTTACAAGTGATGATATAATCAAATTTGTATTGTAATACTCTCTTCGTCCCATTTCAAATAGGCCAGTTGTTTTTGGTTTTTTTTTTTTTTTGTAGTGAAAATAATATTTTATTAATTAGTGAAAATGTGTAAAATAATTTGATATTTTTGTCCTTAAAAAAGTACAAATAAAGTAACAATGTTTTTGTAATTTGCTTAAAAATATGACATTATTTACTTTTTGAGTGAGAAAAAAATAATAAAAAATACTTTGAATTAGGACGAAGTTAGAATAAATTTTGGATAAGCTACTTATGTAGCTTTGGTCTTAGTTACTCATCTTTAAATTTTAGGTTACATGACAACATGCTATGTGGGGGCAATTAAAACTAAAATAGTAAATATATAGTTACAAATTTATGTAATCAAATAATAAAAAAAAGATTAAAAGATAAAAATTAATAATATATATGAGACAAATATAGCAAGATTATTTATGTAAAAAGTCTAGAATCATATGTAATTATTGGTGATTTATATGTTAAATAGTTGTTCGAAGATTAGGTGACAAGGGCATCCATGCAATGCAAAGGCAAAGTCAATTATTTCTTGGATTCCCTGACAAATATGGTTTTGTTACATGACTCTTTAAAGATAGACCGATTATTTTAATTACACAAATTAAAGGTGCATTTCAAGATAATTAAATAATACCACGAATAAATTATTATTATTTTTTTAAATTTTTTTTTCCTACTTTTCTTGTTATGTAATATCACTATTTCTAGGTAATATATATGCATTTTTTTTAGGCCAAACTGTTTTTTTAATCCCGTAATTAGACCCCTTTATCATTTTAGTCCAGTAAGTGGAGCCTGTCGCAAACTAGTCTCATAAATGAAAAATTTTCGTTGTTTTAGTCATCCGGCGCCGTAGACGCCCGCGTGGCTCGCCGGAGGTGACGTGTCCGACAGGTGTCCCGCCAGGTCAGCGATTTAATTGTACCAAATAAAAAAAATAAAAAAATGAAAAAAAAAAAAACCACGTGTCCGCCAGGTCAGCGATACCTGGCGGACATGTCACCTCCGGCGAGCTACGCGGGCATCTCCAGCGCCGGAGGACTAAAACAACGAAAATTTTTCACTTATGAGACTAGTTTGCGACATGCTCCACTTACGGGACTAAAAAACAGTTTTACCATTTTTTTTTAATATGTGTATGTGTATGTATATAAAACACCACGTACATTCAATTAGCAACTATATATTTAACTTAAAAAATAATAAAAATTAAACCAAAGTATGTGAAAATTATATTGGATTGTTTCGTAATTCCGATTTTATGATGGACAATAGTATTGAATTATATTGTTCAATATGCTTACGTTATAATTCATTTAAGTAATTTTTTTTTAAATTTTATATGGTTTTATATATTTACATATTATGATTCAATTATTTTTCATGTGATAATTTATATAGAAATATTTAATAAATTTATTATATCATTAAATAAATATATAGTACCAGAGTCAAATAGTTTAATACTTGCTGATGTTTTTATATCTTTTAACACATTTTATATTGTTCAATGATGTGTATAATTCTAAAATAAAGTTTGAAAATATAATTTACTTTCATATATATATATATATACAAATAATATATGTATAATTGTACATGCTTAGAGATGTTAATTGTTGGGTGCAATTAGTCAAAAGCTTGTGGAATTTTTTATTTTTATTTTGTAAGGGTGTGTGATTATTATCAAGAAGTCTGAATTGGTTCGATTTACTTTCAAACTTGATTTTGAAAGTTTAACTAATATGTAGGGCTGCTGCACTATAAAAAAATAATATATTTGTAACGGAATTCTGTTTCTAAAGTTCACGTAGCTAATGTAATTTCATTCATAATTTTGTTTTTAATGTCATTAGTAACGGAAAAAGTAGATTTAGAGACAAAAATGTTTTGTTACAAAAATAATTTTTTCTTGTAGTACTGAGACTCATATTTACACATTTATTTATTTAATTTACATCAATATATAAATCAATCATCAAATGAATTATACATAATCATCACATTAATCCATTGGTATAGGTTACTTATGCTCACCCAATCTTGGATGTGACAACCCTTACCAATATATATGTAAATATGCGTTAAATTTGGTTTAAAATTTTCTTATCAAATTATATATATATATGTATATATATATATATAAGCATGATATAGAAATCTTATAAATTATAGGAGAAATCAGTTTAGTAATATAATTTGTTTCTATTGAATTATAGTAAATTTTGCTAAAATATATATACAAGAACACTGTTAAATTATGATATAAATATATTACCTACTTATATAATACACACTACAGGAGAACATTGATATAACTACAAAAATTTGCTATGAAAAAATTATACGTTAAAACTGTCATATAATACACACTACATTACAAAATTTATTCAAATAAATCGTGGAAATTTGTGTAGAAAAATTTTGTAAAATAATTTATTATTTAGATGTGGCAAAATATATATCAAATTTATTATTGTGGCAATTAGTGTGTCAAATAAGTTGTAGCAAATTACATTGCAAATTGTAATGACAATTTATGTGGCAAAATTAGCTACACTGCTTATAGCCACTACATACATTTTTATGGCTAATTTTCTAACAAATTCATTAGCTACATATATTTCTGAAAATTTTCATAACTAATTTCATAAAAAATATAAATGTTTTGTTGTAGTGACATTAAAAAATACGCACATATGAATATTCTTAATTAACCACCTTATTAAATATTAATTTAGTTAATTAATATCGAAATCATTATATATATATACATGTGAATAAATCAATTTATCGAGTTAGATTAATCCGTTAATATATATTCAGAATCGTATCAGTAAAAAATAAAATAAAATAAATTATGTTATAATATAATATGCGGTTGAAAATCAACTAGTGTCATGTTAACAAGTAAAACACTTATTATCAAGAAATTCTCCTACTAGCTCTCCTAATAATTTTTTGTTTCTAAATAAAAACCCTAATAATAATTCAGGTCATCTTTGCTGATGCAAGAAAATGCAGTGTCAATGGAGAGAGAGAGAGAGAGAGAGAGAGAGAGAGAGAGATTCTAAGATTGAGACAAAGACAAACAGAAGTATGTTTTCTTCTTCCTAAAGATCTGAGTTGATGATACATTTTCAAATATTAATTAATCGATTTATTGGCAATCTTTTTGAAAATTTGACACTTTCCAGTTTGTAATTTTCTATCTAAGTGCGGTTGCGGACCATCTTGTTCTTCCTATTGCAATAATTTATTATATATGTATTCTGATTAATTCGTTATGTATATGTATATTTTAATTTAATTGATTAAACCAGTAGGGAATTAAGGTCAATCAATGGACCATTGTTTTATTACTATTTAATTTACTTATTTTTATTCATTTCCCTAACTTTTTTGTATTAAATTATTTTCCATGTCCTAATTCTTGATTTTAAACATTAAAAAACCTTAGCCAAGTTGTTTGCTTTTTGAGTGTCTTAAAGTAGGAACAGGAATTATGCCAGCAGGACTAATGGCTATGGCGTAATACACAAGTTGGTGAGAATTAATTAATCAACAAATTGCTCCATACTTATCCCTAAATTGATTGAAGGGAATTCAAGAATTGTATTTATATGTCCCAGAAATTAAATTATTTTATTTACTCACTCTCTAGCTAATGAAATATGTGAATTTATTTAATTATATATAGTTGGGGTTATATATTTTATTACACCAGCAAAAATGACTATCCAATCATTTTTTCAATAAACACAACTTATATAAAATTTTTAATTGTAAGTTTTAAAATGTATTGTTAGAATTATGATTCTTATAAGATATTCTTCTACTATTGTGTGAAGAATTAAAGATGGTTAATATTCAATGATATTGAAACTGTATGTTTGAAAATTATTACGATTAATTTAATAGAGAGTAGTATAAGTTTAACAGTGTTTTTTTTACTAGTTTAATCCTACTTTTTCTTTAATATTCTTATAAATTGAATTTAAAAGGGTAAATGAAAAAAAAAAAAAGTGTAATTAAAAAAAGTTACAGAATTTCCGAGACATCGCGGCTGTGTTCTTATATAAATATAGTAGTATATTTTTCCTTACAAAAACGATTACTATTATTATTTTATTCTTACATTTTCTTTTTTCTATGTAATCTTTACTATCTCAAATCAAAATTAATACGGTGCAATCAAAAGTATATATATATTACTTTTACTTACAAAATATCACGTAAAAATACTGTTAAATAAAATTTCAAATCACAAACTCAAATATAAACCAAAATCAAACAAACCCAACTATGTCAACCTGAATCATTCCTAATCACTTTTATATTTGAATATCAATTATAAATGAAACATTGACAATTACTAAATTCTCTAAAGAAATCCAAAAGGAAAATGAATGTGTGTTTGTTCAAAGATTTGATTCTTTGAATTTTTGCATAATAAAATTTTAAAAATAAATATGTATTTGATGTGATATAAATAGATATTAATGTAATATTTTGAATATAAAATTATTTTTTAGTATAATATAAAAATAAATATTTAATTTAATTTTTTAAGGGGTAAAAATTAATTGAATGGTGAAAATTCTACAAAAGAACAACACAACCAATTGTTATTTTTCGGAGATCAAGTAAGATTGGAGCTTGCAACTCATTTTTTCTTGGATGTGTTCGTTCGAAGGATTTTGACAAAATTCTACTATTCATCCAATTTTTTTCTTCTAAAAACATCAAATCAAACACCTATTTTTTATTTTTTATATTATATAAAAAATTAATTTTACATTTAAAACATCACATCAACACATATTTATGTCACATCATACAAATATTTAAATTCAAATTTTTTACCATTTAAATTACAATTCAAAAATTCAAATCCCCAAACAAACACACGCTGCTACTAGTGTTACGTAGAGTTTCTTGAGAGAAAATAAGGAGTAAACAAGAAAATGATTTATTTATTTTTAAAGAGAGTAATCTAATATTGTTTACAAAATATATGTTGAAATTTTAGTATTATTTATTTTTTAAAAAAATATCAATTTTTTTTTTTACAAAATATCACATCAATTATTATTATTATTATTATTATTTTCAAAATTTAAAGCTCTCTTATCTGAGCGAGCTTATTTGCAAAAATATTGGAATAGTCAACTACCTTAAGGGGTGAACCTTAATTGGAGGTAGGATTTAAATAAATATTTTCACCATTTTCATTTATATACATCGGATTATAACATTGTTACAATCATGTATCAACCACACGGTATCAACGGATTTCTTGTTAATTCGATATTGCGTGTGTACAAGAGATTTGATCTTAGTAGAAGAGCAAAGGGTACATTAAATTTCACTTGATAATATAAATTTGGATCGCATACGATCGATTGACACGACACTAAACATCTTTTGGCTTCTTGTGTTCATTAATTTAACAGCATTATGGTAAAAAATGACGAACAACCTTTTTGCCAAATTCATAGAAATTTCGTGCCGTTGACAGATTCATATATATATATATATATATATATAGCTTTGTTTATTTCGAATAGCATGTTTTTGTCTGAATGAAGACAAACAGAAGAAGTTGGAATGAATACAACATAAATGACAATTTAACTTTGGCTCCTCAATTTCTGCCATGGAATTATGCAAATGCAGCTTCTCTGATCGAAGTTTAAACCTTGACATCAGAAAACGTGTTTTTGAAGAATTATTCTTTCTTGAAAATGGAAAAAAATGGTGTCTGTGCAGCTTCTTTCTTCCTTTTGATTATCTTGAAAATTATTTTAGTGTATAAATAGATGCAGGTAATTAATAAAGGGAGTGTGGAGAATATATTTAATTATGTGAACTAAAAAAAATGTTAACCATTGTCACTCTGATCGCAATATTAAACAAAAAAAATAAATTAATAATAAATTATCATAGTTACACTTTTATTTTTATTGAATCAATAAAATATTTTGTCACACATATATATATATATATGAAAATATTACTTTCCTTGTTCCATTTAAATAGTCTCAAAACTTTTTTATAGTAAATTAAATATAATTATATTATTGTGTGAGTTTGTGCGAAAGGAAAAATGTAAAGAATACTATTGGGTAAAATATAGTACTGCTAAATTTTATTTTATTTTTTAAAAATAAAACTAAAAATTGATATGTTAAGTATTGTGGACAAGTAAAAATAAATGGAGTTAGTATTTCACTATTTCTAAATACTCAAATTTAAAATTTATTGAACAACAAAAAATATATGTGAGTCATCGTTATTGTGGTTCAAATAAATTGAAATTGCTACTGATAAAATAGCCCATGGCTAAGTATTTCTAAGTATATAATTCAGACTCAAGTCTTACATATTTGTTGTATGTTCGTTTGAATCAATTATTAGAACCCACATAGACATAAAAACCCACAAAATAGCTGTCGACAAGACAAGAATGCATAAAATTCTTTTCTCATCCTTTACATTAATTCAAATTTTAATAGTCAGCACAAAAGCAGAATGAAACGAGTTTCAATTTAATTATTATTCCACACAGATATTTGTTCAATTGTTTGTCAGGTTGTTCATTTACAATCCATTATCCAATCACCACAAGGAATGTAATAATTAAATATACATATATATATATTATAAATTAATGTACATATCAATCAAGATTGAACTAATCCAATGTATCAGAAAGGTTCAAAAACCCTAGTAAAGATATGCATATATATATATATGTATGTATGATTATGTAGCTGGTAAGACTTTTTAGGTTCTTCCAAGGGTATCACATCATCTTTCTCTATACCTATAAATCCAAGTCTTACCTCTCCACATCTTCTCCAACAACATGAAACAATCAATCAAATTTCTCATCTTCTCCATGTTCATTTAGAGAGAGAGAGAGAGAGAGAGAGAGAGAGAGAGCAATTTCATTTTTTTTCACCACAATAGAAGGATAAAAGAAAACAAACAACCCCGAAGATCATTGATCAATCGGACTTTTCCATTTGAAACATGGGAAGGGCGCCGTGTTGCGACAAGGCCAACGTGAAAAAAGGGCCATGGTCCCCGGAAGAAGATGCAAAGCTCAAGGCATATATCGAGAAATATGGCACCGGTGGAAATTGGATCGCTCTCCCTCAAAAAATCGGTATTAAAAAAAAAAAAAAAAAAAACCCTAATTTGATGTTAACTAGGGTTTTTTTTGTGTTGTTCGTCTGTAAAGAAATGATTTTTATTTTTCATTTTAGGGTTGAAGAGATGCGGGAAGAGTTGCCGACTGAGATGGCTGAACTATTTGAGGCCGAATATTAAACACGGAGGATTCACCGAAGAAGAAGACAACATTATCTGCAGCCTGTATATCAGTATTGGAAGCAGGTATATATTTCTTTCTATACATACATATCAATACATATATATGTATATATATATATACAATCTGTCAGGACATATACGTAGGAACAAAAACTATGGACATATGTAGAGAGACATAAAGCCTCTTACCACATGAAAGCAATCAAATCCTGCAAAAACATTTGCCTGTGCTTAGTTTTAGCATAAATTGTTTGTCCTTTTTCCATTGTCTATGATGCTCTAATTAAAGAATGAAATTAAGTAAAAAGCACACACAATATTGATATTTGATCTTTGATCAAGATTTTGAAATTTCATATTGAGGGTTTTTTTATTTTCATTTTTGTTAAATTATGATTAGGTTTTTATGCCCTCTTTGTTTAAATTAAAGAATTATTAACTAGGGTTTTGTTTTAAAATTAATCATGGTTCATTTAGATCCTTGAAACACTTTTCATGTTCTGATCAAGAATTTTGTCATGTGGTTAGGTGGTCTATAATTGCAGCCCAACTGCCCGGAAGAACCGACAACGACATCAAGAACTACTGGAACACAAGGCTGAAGAAGAAATTGCTCGGCAGACGCAAGCAGCACAAGAATCGTCTTGCGATGGAGGCCGGTTTTCCCGAGCAAAAATACGCTACGAAGGAGATCGAAAACCCGAATAATATTATGCAAAACCTAAGCTCCTCAGCCATAGAAAGGCTTCAACTACATATGCATCTTCGAAACCATCAAAACCCTTTCTCCTTTTACCAAAACACTTCACTTTGGCCCAAGATGATCCAGGCCCTCCATTCCAATCAAAACCCTATAATCAACGGCCAGATTTCCTCCTCCACTCCTCACTCTACAACCCCTGATCACCAGCAAGGTTGTAACCCTAATTTCAGCAATCTGAGAAAAGGGAATGAAATCGAATCTTCCTTCAATGGATTTTCATCTTCCGACAGCTCCTTCAACCCCTTGAATACTGATCAAAGCAATCTTCTCGAATTTGATACGCTCGAGCGAAATCCGGGCATAGATCATTTAACAAATCAAGGGTTTTCTCAGTCTGAACTCGACGATTTGCTTAGCACCAAAACCTCGAATTTTCTTCCCAAGGATCACCAGATCAACGGTCAGGATTGTTTCATGAAAGATCTTGATGTCTCGAACTCTTCGGGTAACAATTTGTCTTGGTGGACTAATGAATTCGATCATGATCATGCCAATCCGGGATCTTTAAGCTCGTGGGACTCGGCGAATGCACTTCATCATCAACCCGAAGAATTGTACCCCGGGTTTGATTATGTCCAAGGATACAATTACATGAGTTGATGTAAGTTGGAGGGCGCGATCATTGCAGTCGGTACGAGGTTTTATAGGAGATGAATATCATTTGTTGTTACTTCATAAGGGGAGAGTCTCTGATTTTACTTTTGTTGTAACTAAAATTATGTGAATAATGTCATGCCTTTAAAACATTTTTCATGTGCCCAATATGTACTCAAAATTTTATTTTTCTTAAATAGTTTAATTAATTTGGATCGATTTTTAGCTGTATTGGCTGTGGATATATAAGTTCTATACTTATGTATAGTTTGCATTCGTAATAAAGTAATGTATTTGGTCTCGATTCAATCGAGTTTTTAAGTTTATAAAGTTAATCTAGATACGTTATTTGCCTAATTAAAGATGAAATTTTTAACTTCAATGCTTATTTAAGATGAATTAGGGTCGTAGCAAAATTGTGGTTTCACTTTTTGGCTGTCAATTATATATATATATATATGTATACACACATATGTGTGATTATATTTTTACACAATAATTCTTATTAAAATTATGAAAAATTTATAATTAAGTTGTTGTATATATTGCATTATAATAATATATATTAAGAATTAAAATTGTATAAAATTTAAACATGAAATGAATTAATGCTTAATTTTTTAACCGTGTTATTATTTTGCTAAAATATTATTTTCTTTCTATTATTATTATAAGTCAACTTTCGGCTGGTTAGACTTTTTTTTTTTAATATGTTTAAACTTAGGTCGTAAGTATGCTTAATGAACCAAGTTTGGCTCGAATAATAATCTTAGTATTGACTCAGTTTTGTATTCGCTCTATGATTTCTTTTATATATATACATTTTTTTTTTTTTATCTTTTTCTTTTATAAAGTGGGAACCCTAAGTCACTGTCCGAAAATGCTATTTCGACCAAACCTAATATCCTGCAAACTAAGCTCCATAGAGTAAGTCGCACTAGGAGAACCATGTGTACCTCACGCTCACAAATTCACTCACTTTTTTTTTTAAAAAAATATTTTTATTTTATGATGTGGGAACTCGTAGCCGCTATCCGAAAGTACGCACCGGGTAAACCTCCGGCCGAACCTAATAGCCTGCAAACTAACCTAATACCCTGCAAACTAAGCCCGACAGACAAGTCACACTAGACAAACCATGTGCGGCAGGTGACCGGAGGCGTCGGAGGTTTGAACCCATGACCTCACGGTCACACGTCCAACCCCACATCACCAGATCGTCCCTTACGCGACAAAAAAGAAGAAATAAATGAAAATTTGCAAAGAAAAAACATATATAATAAACACACACACACAATTGAAATTAAATTACCCATAAAAATTTAGGAGAAAAAGTTGGATAACTTAGAAAAGTTCATTGTGTCACTTTACATCATTAAGCTCTTTCAAACTGCTATAACGCAACACCACAATGATATTTAATTTTACTGGACCGGGCTGGATTGGGCTGGGCCATAATATGCTCGGTTGAGTTTGAAGTTAGTTTGGGGTGGCTGGCCTGGTCATAAGGTTGGGCTAGGCCACGTGGCCTTGCTCAACTTGTAGGGTGGGCCCGAAATTGTACTAGAAGGAGCACGTGGGTTGGGCTTTTAGTTGGGCCTGCTTATTTGGTAGGTTGGGCTGGGATGCTGATCGGATCGGGTCAAGTCAAATAAATAAAGTAAATAATGCTCTCTGGGCCGGGTCTGGTACTGATTCAGGCAACAAAGGCTCGCCTGGGCTTGTGTACTGCTGAGCTTGCTGACATGGCAGATAATATGGACTGGGTTGGGCCGGTAAAAACGGGCCCATCTGTAATATGTACTGTTAGACTCTAATAAAACAAGGCATCCTAACTACAATATTAATGTCACCAGATTGTGGCGTAGGAGTTGGACTTATCACATGTTTTACCCAGTGCGCTAAAAATATATATATATTAATGTCATATATTTTATTCACTTCTAAATAAATATTTAACACAAAATAGTATTTTTTATATTATTAACATAAGTTTTTATACTTTACATAAAAAAATAACTCAAATTAAAACACAAAACAAACACACCCACAATTAAAATTAATTAACATTTTTATTTATGCAAATATTATCAAACCAATGTGGTTTGTTTTAACTGTTTCCAATTAAAAAATTTATATATAATTTTCAATAAAAAATATTATTTTTGTCCAATAAAAAGTAAGAAAAGTATCATCTAATTTTTTGGTTATTTATATTTAATATTAAAAATATTATTTATATTTGTATAATTTATTTCATAAATATAATTATATTTTTATATTAATAAAAGTATTGTTTTATTTTTCTCTATACAATTATTAATATAATAATTAATATTCAAATATTTATAAAAAAAAAATCAATAATACTTTTCTCTTCGACGGAGGTTGTATTAAATTTTAATAAAATATTATATGAAATTCCTCTTATACAAAGTCAAATTACTTACACAAATTGAAAAAATAATAAAACCAAACACATAACAAACACAACAAGAATATAAAAAGGTAAGTATCAATAATGATATCATATTATATTCATTTATTTTAGGGAATATTTATTGAAAATGTATTATTTTATTTTCTTAAATATCAAGAATATAATGAAAACAGCCGATGCACTTTCAACATGTGTCTTTAAAAAAGAACAATTGAAGGAGAAACAAATATCTAAATAAAATTCATAAACTATATTGAATTTGTTCTTTCTATAAATTATATATTTTCAATAAAAGACTTTACTCATATTTTTTAATAAAAACATTTCTATTTTCTTATATTGTTAGCAATTGATTTTTTTGAAATTTTCCCCTATTCTAACATATTGGGAAGATTTGGGTTTTATGTCAGAACAGTATTTGATGTTAATATATATATATATATATTTTTTAAAATATATAATTTTAATAGTAAAATTTTAAAAAAAATTATTAAAGAAACAAGAGAATTCTAAAACACATACTTACATATAAACTTCCAATACAAATCTTTTCGATATATAAAATTGTATACATATCCAATTTTCATATATTATTAATTCTAAGAATTAATTACATTTTTTTAATAATTGTCATATTGTGTAATATACAATATCTATTATACACTTTTTAAAATTAAAATTTTGAAATAAATAAAAAATACAAAATCATTGTCAAAAAATCAATACAGAAAAAAATAAATAAAATAAAATAAAAAATAAAAAAATTTAAAGAACGCATATCCCCAGATCTGAAGATTCAAAAAAATCAATAATGATAAACAACAAAAAAGAATATTATGGGTGTGCTACGTGATTTGTTTATTTTGTTGGTGTGTTTGTTTTGTATTTTAAGTTCGGTTTTAAGTAAAAAAAATTGTATGATAAAAGGATAAAATATACTATTTATTACCATATCTGTCCCCTAATTTTAAATACATCATGTAAAAAATATTAATATCATATTGATAACAGTTATAAAATCTTAGTTAATTTTTTTTTTTTTATCTTGAGAATATATTCTAATTTCGATATAAAAAATAATAATATTTATATAATAAGAAGACTATTGTTTTAAAAAAGAACCGACGTGGTAAACCAAACATATTCCTTTGAAATGAACGGAATAAAATTTTGTGTATATATATATATTTTTTATATATTAATTAAAAAAACCTAGCAATATTATCGTGTTGCATTTTATTTTTTTTTATCATTTATTTTTACTTTCTCCGTCCCTTAACAATCTATCCATTTTGGTCTGTTCTATAACAAAGTATCCGTTTCCTTTTTTTTTTTAGTAATTTTACTATCTGCCTAACATTATAAATACCCTTCTAATTTACAATATATAACACAAATGTCATTACCTTTATATCATACAATACTAATAGGGTTAATTTAGTTTTTTTACCTTTATTTCTACTTTATCCCAATATAATATTAATATTTTTAAAACTCTGCGCAAAAAGCAAATGGATAGATAAATTGGGGACGGAGGGAGTATTATTTTTAAAATTTAAATTTTATACTTTGTATTATTTTTTATACTTAATATTATATAATAAAAATGTTAGAAAAATACTAAGTATATATATATACAAAATGAATATTAATTTTAATATATATATATATATTTTTTTTAAATGTACACACATATATACAAAAGTGGATTCAATATCAATAAAAATCTTTCCCCCAAATAATTATTCGCCTGAGCAGAGTACTTCAGGCCGTCCAATTATTTTAATAATTTCCATTACATATTAATTAATTCACACCCAAAATTTCTATTAATGGCCTCGTCCCTACTTCATAAACTGCCCCCAAAAATGTAAATTAATAATAATAATTAATAATAATTGTATCAAAAGATATTTGCTAGTAGATTAAAAATAATAATATGATATTAGTATTTTTATTATAATGTCTGGTGCTGGGTCAATAAAAATTCAATTTTCAGAAAGTTAATAATTTCCAAAGACGTTTAGGCCGTCCAATTCTAATCACATAATAATAATTATTATTATTATCATTATCATTATCATTATTATAATAATTGATTTTATTTAATTTAGTGACTGCCCACCACAATTGGGAGTATTCAGACACTTTAATTATTGTGATTACATCCCATACTTGTAATGGGACACTTTCAACAATAATTAAGGTCACGACAGATCCTCTCCTGCTCTTCCTCAATTTTTTATTATATTTCTTACTTTCCAGGTGTTCGAGATTATTATTATTATTATTATTATTATTATTATTTTATAAAGTTGGGATTAATGGGCACCGTCGAATGTGCCATCTTGTCACAAATTATGATAATATGTTGCAGATTTAGATACAAAAATATCGTACAAATTAATATTATATCTACATTTTATATGTAATACAAGGACGTGTTTGATTGCATATATATGTTTTGGGGTTTATTGTTTGAGGAAATACAAGGACATTTTATATATCTAGAAATTATTCAATCAAATATTTAATTTTTATTTTATACTTATACGTTATGTAAAAATAAATCCAATTTAAAGCTGATAACAATAAATATATAAATTATTATTTATTATTATTATTATTATTATTATTATTATTATTATTACTACATCACATTCAATGTTTTCTTAATATAAAATATTATATTGAAAAATTTCTTTCTATAAAAAACAATATTTACATAAAAGATACTCTAAATCACTACCAAACAACACACCGTACCATTCATCATTTTTTATTGATCCTAAATTTTACTGACAAGTTGAAAATATTTCGATGGGTATTTTGTAGGTTTAGATTTCTTATTTTTTATGTTTACTAAAATCGTAGTTAGATATATAATATTTTTTTTTTTGTATATATATATATATATATAATCTGTATATTTTCATGGGAAATGACAAAAAATATCTAAAAAAAACTTTTAGGTTGTATTCTTTTATAATTTATATATATACTTTTATTATTTAAATTATTTTTGTTTCAAAAATATCAAATCAAACAATTATTTTTTTTATATTATAATACAAATTTATTACATTCAAAACATCACATCAACTTTTATTTATATATCAAACAATTATTCAAGTTCAACTTTTTACTATTAAAAAATCCAAATTCAAAACTAAAACTCAGAAACAAAGTTGTATGTTAGAAGTATTTTCATGCATTTTGTATTTTTGGGATAGCTAAAAATATGAATAAAAAATATATAATTTGATATTTCAAATAGCCAAGTCTTTTAGAGAGAAGAAAATATTGTAAATATATATTAATTTGAAAACAAAAGTAATTAAACCATCTCTTATAATTTTACTTAGAAGCGTATACTCCCTCCATCTCTTAACAAACCATCATTTTTCTATTATGGTCCGTTTCACAATAAAATATCCATTTTTATATAGTAACTGTACTACGTACTTAACATTACAAATATCCTTACAATTTACAATACATTATACAAATATTATTACATTATATCACACAACATTAATAAGGTTATTTCAATCATTTCTACTTTATTCATATTACATATCAATATAATATTAATATACCTTAAACTTTATGCAAAAAAGCAAACGTGTACTTACTTATGGAATTGAGGGAATACATTTTATAAAATATATACATATCTTCTTTTATTTCAAATATCTATATATATATATATATATATATGATTATGATATATTTTTAAATACAAAGTAGAAAACAAAAGCTCTTAAACAAATCTAAGTGGTTTGTCGCCATTATTTCGTTAAGACAAAAGTTACTTCGTTAATTTTAATGAAGCAAGTAGGCCAAAGATGTCCTCCTGACCGTTCATTTCATTAATTATATTTAAAATTTTAAGTAGTCTTTAAATAATGTGTGTTACGGATGAACTGTTAATCAAAATTAAACAAATTAAACAGCACCATGCTGATATTCCATTCAACACACATACAAGACTCAAATGATATATATATACTCCCTCCGTCCCATTGGAAATATCGCATTTGAAAGGGTCGCATTTGTTTTTTGCACGTAGATTTTTTAATATTGGTATTATAATGAATTGTAGTGAAAAGGACAAAAATACCTCTATTAGTATGGCGTAATATAAAAATAATGATATTTGTGTAATATATTCTAAGTTGAAAGGGTATTTATTATGTTAAGTAGGTAGTACAGTTACTAAATTAGGAAATGATAACCTTGTTTTGGGACAGACGAAAATAGAAAATTGTAACCTTTCAATGGGACGGAGAGAGTACATGTTTTTATTTAACAAAACATACATGCATAAAGGTGTATTTATTTTGTCCGTTTATTTTGTCTGTTAAATATATTTAAAAGTAATATATTATATTTATGATAGTTATCTTATTTAAGATATTCATAGGATTCTTACCTTATTTAGACGATTTATATATCACTATAAATATGTACGTATTCTTATGATTATAATAGAGAATTTCAATTTCATATTCTAGCAATGCTAAATTAATTATAACATATGTTGTGTGATACTGTCTTATGTGATATTTGTTCATATGTTATTTGCATTATATTAATATAATTAATGTGTTCTTTGCTTTTATATTGTGTGTTGTTTGTCTTTATATCAAAGATTGTGTGATATCGTGTCATGTGTTGTATTTCTATTATGTTAATATAATTGTTGTAATGACTGCTTTTACATGATATCACTAAAAGAAAAAATAATTTTTGTAACAAAACTTTTTTGTCTCTAAATCTAATTTTTTCGTTACTAATGACATTAGAGACGGAATTAGGAACGGAATTACATTAGCTACGTGAACTTTAGGGACGGAATTCCGTTACAAATATATTATTTTTTTGTAGTGTATGTTGTACATGTCTGTATCATGTGTCATAAGTTTATGTATACGACTGTATTTGTATTATATGTCAAAAGTAATTTTTTGATATATGTAACAAAACTTAGGAGTGTCAAGAAAATAATAGCCTTAAACTAAGATTACATCGAGTAAAGCTAATATGAATGTATCAAGGGTGTTTAATTAGTGTTTTAATTTGAGATATTTTTTATTTTATTTTGTTACTTGTAATTTTCTTTTTATCTAATTTTTCTATCTTACTTTTTAATTTCATCTAAACATATTTAACTTTTGTCCATTGTATTAAATATTCTTGTCAATGGCCTTTTACTTGTGAATAGTTGCAAATGTCAAAACAAACTTTTTCATGATCAAACTACTATTAAGATAATATTTTCTTCGTACCAATCAAATATATACATTAACTATTTTATTAATTATTGTGACACAATTTTCTATATTACATAATAAAAATTAATTCCTCTAAAAATGTTGTATAAACAAAACCCATATAAGTGCATTATTAGTGCATAAAATACTCTTGTTAGTTGGTTTATCATACAATTGTGTTGTAAAGTAGGCTATGACTAGGTTGATATTTTTTAAACTTTTAGTACTATAAATAACATTATTATTTTTTGTTCTTATAAAATATTATATCATATATTCAATTTTATTATTTTATTATTATTTTTTTCAAAACTTCAAAATTTTTATTTAAATGGAACTTAAATTTTTTGTTTAAATACACCTTCCATCTTTTAAAAACGTGCTCAAAGTTTAATGTAAATATATACTTTTGAGTATTTTTTATAGTGCAAAAAAAATAAAAAACGATATAATTTTTTATTAAATAAAGAAGTATATACATTTCTAGGAGACAAAATAAAAGGAAAATTAACACAATTTAAGGGGACAATTGGACTAATATATATTTTATTAATTTCATATGCAATTTTATTGAACAACACACATGTTGTAGATATTTTTCCTCCCTTTACAAAAGAAATTATAAAGCCAATTAATTAGGTGAGCAACGTGTAGATTTAAGACAAGCCAACAAAATTAAAACAATAACTTTCCATTAAATTAAAATTCTCAACTTTCAAACTGTGTACAGGAACAAACACGAATCCAACTTTGACATGACAGATACGATGATGATGATGATGATCTTGATAACGATGAAGATGATGATGATCGAGACCCTTCACTTAACCCTTCCCACACACACACACATATATATATATATATAAATATTTATGTCTTCTTCTTCCCTGTCCCACCACCATCCTTAATTAATAAAATAACTGTAACTGTAACTGTCTGATCGATCCGCCTGCACCAGGGCTAGCTAATTCCATTTCATCCACTGAGAAATTACAGTGTTCGATAGGATGGTGATAATGGCAGAAAGAAAGAAGATAACAGCCCCAATCCTCAATCCCTTATGCGACAACCACTGGAATCGTCGAGTCAAAAACCCTAGCAGAAGCCCTCCTTGCCTGTGTGTAATAAATTATTAATTTTTTTAATTACAAAAACACAAAATACAAATTTTAAAAAAAGCCTTTAATTAAATTAATTAATTAATTATAATTACCTCAGACTCCCAGTTCGTACGGACGGTTATGATCGACAGGAAGAGTGTCTGAGCGAAAACTGCAGCTATGATCCCTGTCCAAAGTCCCTGCAGATGATGGACACACCAAAACGATGATCGATCCAACATAGGAAATAAAATTAATTTGTTTGTATGATGTTGTCTGATTATCGACATATTATATATATATATATATATATATACTTATATAATTGAATTGACTGGACTGACCTTCCCTCCAAGATGGAGTTCGAAAGCGAGCAGTATTCCGAGGGGAATTCCGATTATGTAAAAGGATCCCAAGTTCACGATTGCTCCTATCTTCTGCCATCCACACCCTCTCGCAATGCCTGTAATAAATTTAATTAATTAATTAATTAATTAAAATTAAGGTGGTGTCTGTGTCTGTGTCTGTGTGTATGTATATGAATGTATATGTGAGTGTGTACCGTTGAGGACAGAGAGGACTCCGTCGGCGAGGTTTGTGATGGCGACCAGAATCATCATTTGGGAAACATAGGAGACGACATTCTCCTCGCTGCTGAAACAGTAGCCCCAAATGTTACGCCCCAAAATGATGACCACCACCGCCACTACGCTCTCCAGCGCCACCATCACCGTCGCCATCATCACCGCCAGCCTCGCCGCCCTCGGCCTCCCTCCCCCCAACTCGTTCGCCACCCGAACACTATATCAAGATTAACAAATTTTAACTTTTGTATTTTTTGTACCGATTGAATTGAATTTTGTATAGGAACATCTAGATATATAAATTTTGGATTAAATTAAATTAAATGTAAAAAAATATTTATGCTCCATAAGTGACAATAGTCAATAGTAGAAATATAGTATCTGAGAAATGGCAAGTAGAGATTTAAAGAATACTATTTTTAATTTTAATTTTTTAATAATTGGCTCCATGTAGATATGAGACTTTTGAAAATTTTGGGAATCTGATATTAATAAGAAATTAGTATTTGATGAGATATTCTTTTGAGAAAAAGATATATTTGATATAATTTTTTTTTTTAAAAATTTGAATAATATATATTTGGAGTCTAAATATATTATAACTATTATTTGTTTTTTTTTTTTTGGGGGGGGGGGGGGGGGACAAATTAAAGTGATAAAATAAGCACATATTTTTGTTAGATTATTATTTTTATTACCTGATAGCACTTCCGAGGCCAAGAGGAATCATGTAAATCATGCCATTGGTGTTAAGACTAGACAACACAAAAGAAACAAACCACATCAGCAAATTAAATTCAAACAACTTAAATTAATTAAACTAAATTCTTTAACAGCTAATAATCACCTAATTGAAAGAACCGAAGTTTCCAATGTAGGATTTGGTAGAAGACCCGAGACAATAACCATAATCTCATACGACCAAATCTCCAGGCTGCAATAAAAATAAATAAATAAATAAAATAATCAACAATATATATATATAGATAGATATATATCAAATTTAATTAATTAAATTTCTTACCAGACCATAATAGCCGAGGGAACTGCGAGCCAGATGAACTTGGAGATATTATTGAGAGCCTCCCTGGAAAACCCTTTCCACGTGGCACTGCAAGAAGGGGACAGCGTAATGTACAGGACCAAGAACAGATCATTGGTCCAGTACGAGATCCCGTTGGCGAGGGCGGCCCCTCGACTCCCGAGCCCTAGCTTGGAAATCAAGAGCCAGCAGATCGGAATGTGGAGCAACGTCGTGATCCCTGACGTCAGCATCATCGGAACAACGTTGTTCTGCGTCTGCAAGAATCTGAACTGACACTGCAGCAGCGCGAACGGGAAGATCGACGGAATCATATACCGGGCGTAAACTCCGGCCTCCGCCGCAATCGCCGGATCCTGTCCTAACAGCTGCAGAATGTCACCCGCCGTCGCCCAGATACAGGCGAGAGGAATGCTCACCAGAATCAAAACCACCATGGCTCTCTGCATATGAATCCCCAACATATGGTATTGCTTCGCGCCGTACGATTGGCCGCAGTACGTGTCCAATGCGCACGCCATTCCCACCTGGAATCGCAAATCAGGATCATAAGTAATAAAATTAGGGGTTGTTTTTTATTTTTTTTTTATTTTTTTTTATTTTTTTTTTTAAGGATTTATTCCTTGGTTGTAATGAAATTAGGGTTTTTTTTTTGTTTGTTTTTTATGATTCATTCCTAGGTTGTAATGAAATTAGGGGTTTGTTTTAGGGCAACGATTGCGGTGCTGATTTAAAAATTTCAGTTCAAATAAGCACTCATAATATATATATAAAAAGCACACTGTTTTATTATATACAACACATGATGTATAGTAAAGACACGTGCTGTTAGGTTTATAATTATAAATATATTGTATAACAGTATATAGTGTTGCTAAAATCAACTATTCTTTGTGTTGTATAAGACTATAGCATGTGCTGTTAATTCATGTACTATATTTATATTATATGACAGCATACAGTGCTATGCGATGTGTATTTTAAAATTCCGCCGCCCTTTTTTTTTAGAATTCATTCCTAGGTTTGTAATAAAATTAGGGTTTTTTATTTTTTTACCAGTAAGCTGAAGCCGGTGACGGAGGCGAAGGAGGTGGCCATGGAGGCTCCTGACAGGGCCAATTCGCCGACGTGGCCGACGAACATGACGGAAATCGTCTGGATTAATGACAGCAACAGATTTACGAACATCATGGGACCTGCCAGGAACATTTGTAGCTTTGTTTCTGCCAGGATTTCATCTCTTGTGAACTTCTCATCGATCGATCTGGACTCGAATTTCTCTGAATTTGGAAGCAATGGTGCTCCAAGTTCGCCCTTTTCGTTCTGGGAACTCATTTTTATATATTTTTTTTTATTTCTTTTTTTTAAAATAAAAAAGAAATTATTATTTTTTTTTCCTACCCACACAAACAGATACTCTCTCTCTCTACTGCTTCACTCTCACTAAAGCAGAAATAGAGTAAGACTGAAATGTAGTGGGCATATTTTACAAAGTAGCATCTGATATATATATACACTCAAAAGTGGCCACTAACTTCCAGTTGTTACAAATTTAAAATAAATTATGGTGAAATAGGGATTATTTTAATATGCATGATTGATTCAAGCTTTTTCTTCTCTTTTAAAAAATATATACTTGAATTATATGAATGTATGTTATTATTTCGAAAAAATAAAATAAAAAGGAGCTGTAGCTTTGTTGATTTCTCATAAGCTGATTATTTCGAAAAAAAATATAGTTGTAGCTTTGTTGATTCCTCATAAGCTGAACGGTCATTTTCTCTTATCATGAATCATTTGAATTGTTTTCAAATTGTTGTAGCAATCATACTCTAATTTGAAAATTTTCATTTTTATTAATTACGGTGATATAATTTCTTGATTACTATTTTCGTGAAAATGTGTAGCTCATAATTTCATTATTGATTGTTACTATTACTTTTGTGACTTGCAAGATTGTTTGTACATTGGCCATTTTTGGTATTAGTGAAGAGGTCATTTAGGCTTTTGCAAGTGGAAGAATGATCTTTGGACTACCACAATATTAGTCCATTTAAAAATAAATAAATAGAGAAGGGTTTAGAGTTATAATGTTATTTTTAAATTTGAAACTAGCAAAAAAAAAAATTGTTATTACCCTATACGATGTGTAACTTTTGGTTATGTATAATTTTATGTGTTTTCTGATCATATTATAATTCTCGATGTTGAAATCTCACTCTCTTCCATCCAAGAAGTAAGTTTTGTAGGAACAACCCGACTTTCCACTAGGACGGCATTGAGATTTGGAACATATATATACTAATTTATTTTTTTTAAAAAAAAATACGAAACAAAAATATCGTAACTAATTTGTTCAATTTTAACTATGCATCTATCTTGTGATCAATTAATGAATTTTATGAGCAAGTATAAAATATTTGATGATTTTTCTAATATATATATATATATATATATAAAGTGTACTCCATTATTTTACTATCATATCACCTAATTAATCTATTTTATTTATTTTTATTAATTCAGCAAATTACATGAAGGTTCTAATTTAATTCAAGTTGTGGTGAATAGAGACGACTGCATAAGTACACTTGAAGTAAATATTATATAAGAATCCTTTATTATTTTAATAGATTGGTTTAAATTAAGGTATATAAGGTATCTAATGACGTACAATATCACTGCTCAATATATCATACAAGATTTTATTTCTATTTTTTTTTTTTTTAAATAAACATAAAATAAAAAAAATTTGTGTAGTAATGGTATATATGGATGCATTATTTATTGAAATGATTTCCAATAGATTAGCATGTATATATATATATTTATATATATATATATATGAAAGCATGCACTTACTATGTTTAATATATTTGATTATGCATGTATATAATTTTATTTTTTAAAATTATTGTCAAGTTGGCAATATTATTATTATAGTAAAGCTGTGTTTAATTGTCTTATTGAATAACCCATTTATTTTGTCGAATTAATGCAACTTGTTAATTTATTAAAATTACAAATAAACTTTATTCATTCTCAATTCTTTCCAAATACTAATAGAGCATATTGTGATATCCCTAATAAAACCCACATATTGTTGTTATTATTTCATTATTTTTTATTTATTTTTTTATCAAATAATTTGGACTAATTAAATGGACACATGAAAAATCAATCGATCAAATCAATCAGGACACCCATTTTTGTCATGACTCTTATAATATTTTAATCATTTCAGTTTTGAGCCATATTGAATATTCCAAAACTCATATGGGCATGATATATCCGTCCAACATAATTTGTCCCTATTTTTTATTTTCGTCCGTTCCACATAATTTGTCTTTTTTTTTTGAAAATATTATTATACACTTTAATCACATTTTAAATTTTATATTTTATAATATTTTTAATTTTAATTAAATTATTTACTCATCTTAATCTTAATTTATAATTATTTTTATTATACAATAATTATTTTTACTGATACATTTCTTAATTATTTATTAATTATATTTTACCTAAATTTCTATATCTACATTAATAGACTCATATTTCCTAGGATGAAGAGAGTATGAATCTTTACTAATCAATATTATAGAGAGAGAAGAAGAAGAAGTTACAATGACAAAATTTATTTTCCAAAAGAAAGTATACAAAACATGGTTCATATAGATATATATATATATATAAACATTCAATTTCAATTTCAATTTCTTTCTAAAAATAATATGTACAATATATATTTCTATTTATTAAAACATTACTTCTAATAATTATTTTATGTAAAAAATATTTAAAAATTTTAAATTAATATTAGTTGTAATATTTTAAATAATAAATAGAGATTATAATATTATTTTTCTAAAAAAATAAATAAAAATGTCGTAAATAGAATTATACAAAAGTATATATATAATATTATTTTTCTGATAGTGATTTCCTAATTATTTTAAATTAATTTATTAATTTGATCAAATTAATACACTGTTGATTTGACTCTAATTGCTGTCATGAGAGAAAAAATACATTTCAATTAGTAATCTTTCCATTGGTGGAATATATTCCTGGAGGCAAAGATTCCGTGGGAGATTCCAGATTCTAATTTGCAGCCATCCTTAGGTTCATTGTAATAAAAGTAATATTTTTAATCGCATGCAAAATTTCAGCTCTATTTATTTATGGTCGGAATTAAATTTTGCATTATTTATCAAAATTTTTTTTAAAAAATCTAATGCTTTTTTTTTGAAAAAAAAAATAATTTTTTATCGTATCAAACACTTATTTATATTACATTAAATATTCTTTCAATTCAAATTTTTATTATTTTATCAAGCTCAAAACTCAAATTTAAAAATAAATAAATAAAAAGACATTGTAAAAGTACAACGGGCAAATGTAAGAAGCCAGCGGAGATATTCCAAGAATCACAGAATAGAATCTTGAATCCCCCATAGGCCATATGCATAGATTGCACATAACTCTCTGTATATTACTTTATGATTAATTAATTAATTAATCAATTAATTACTTTGATATAATTAATTTCTTGTAATTATTTAATTAATTAAGCATCGTGGTTGGTTGCAAATCTGATTATTATTTTTTATTCTTCAATTTTAATATTTTTAATTTCTTGCCTTTGATGAGATCATGGCTGTGTTTGTGTGTATTGGTTGGCAAACTTCACATGGCCATCTCTAATTAATCTTGATTTCCTTATTAATTCTCTTTCTCTTCAGTAAAATATTTAAAATATAATTAGGGCAATTTATTTTGTCGTCAATTTTCATTTAAAAAAAAAAATATATATTTTAATCTTATTATAAATTTTTAAATTTTAATTAAATTAGTTAGCTATTTTAGTCTTAATTTATAATTATTTTTATTAATACATTCTTAATTATTTACTAATTATATTTCGTGTATGCACGGTAAAATGAACACCGTAGCTGAGACAAAAAAAAAAGTAATAATAATAATAATAATAAAAGAAAGAGATAGAAATACACGTGACAACCATAACAATAAAACAAGATACACTTTCATTTTGTTTTTATTTTTTAAAATAAAAGAAATTATTGATAAGTTGGTTGGTTGAATCAATACGGTCACATGCTTGTTGTCGATGTCGGACCAAGCAAAAGCAACGGTAAAGATTTTTTCTATGGAAATGCCAACACTCAAATAAAATAAAATAAAATAATTCATTTCATAATTTGATATATTTAATTAAAAAAATATTTAAAAAAAATTGATATATTTTTACAGTAGAATGTGAGGGTATATAATTGAAAAAATACATAAATAGAATGAAGCCAAACAATTGATCCTTATTCATGACATAGAATTCCGATTGGGTATCATAGAGAAAATAGGCTAGGCCGAAATTTAGACTATTGCAATTTAAGAAATAACAAATAATGGGCCTAATTCCTTACGGCCCAATGGATCTTATATGGGTTGATGGGTGCAAGAAGGCCTATTTTTATGGGCCTAGTCCATTATGGTTTACAGAATGTTTTTCACTTTTAGGGATATATAAATATAGCAGTCTAAATCCAACTAATTGGCCGACGGAGTTTTGAATTTAAAAAAATAATAAAATAGAAAATGAGGTGTTTTATATTATATTTTATTATTTATGAGAGAAAAAATATTAATATTTTTTTAAAAAAATTATTGTTGGTAAACAAATTATTACGAATTTGGTACAATTGGACATAACTCTTTACATATATACTTTTGTAAATTTTCTTTTATTATTATTATTTTTTTTCAATTGCATTTTTTAAAAAAAAAATTATATATATATATATTATATCAAATATTTATTTCATCTCACATATATCACATCAAATACTCAATTTCCAAAACATCAAAACTTTTATCTAAATAAAAGATTTTCAAGTTAGATTTGGATTTCGGTATAATGTAGGATCCAAAATCAAGATTTTCACAATTTCCTAAGTTTGCTTATTTAAAGGTTTAAATTTTGGTTAGAAGTTTGAAAATAATAAACGTAAAATTGTTTATAACTCTCATGTAGTTTTGAAATTCAGCGTAAAATCTCTCTTACTTTAAAAATTGTATGGTACCCCCTTATACTTTAAAAAACGTTGCATGAAACCCCACCACCATGAAACTTTCTTCGTGTGATAAGAAGATAATTTTATATCTATATGTTTTGCATGGCATTGGGGTTTTATGCAATATTTTTGAAAGTATAAGTGAGCGTCATGAAATTTTTTAAAGTAAAATGGGGATTTATGCTGAGTTTCGAAATCACAAAGTGATTTCATGCAATATTTTTTAAAGTATAAGGGGACGTCATGCAACTTTTAAAGTAGAGGGGGAATTTACGCTGAGTTTCGAAACCACAAGGGAGTTATGGACAATTTTGTCAATAATAAAATTTGAATTGAAATGGTACTTCTATGTGAGAGTAATATATTGTTTTACGTAAAGTCTTTTTTTTTTTTTTTTTGATAACGTGGGAACCTGCAGCCGCTACCCGAAAGTGCGCAGTCGGTAAATTCCCGGCCGAACCTAATACCTTTCAAACCAGGCCTGACAGAAAAGTCACATTAGGCGAACTATGTGTGATAGGTGACCTGAGACATCGGGGGTTTGAACACATGATCTCACAGTCACAAATCCAATATAATTGAAAAATATTGTTGCAAGTATGTTACAATTAAAATTATATTTTACTTATGAGAAATGATAAATAAATAAAAATGAATACATTTGTGGTGGTCAACAATATAAGATAAAAAGAATATATTGCTTTTGGACGAAGTTGTTAAATGATCCAAAAAAAAGTATATTAAAGGTTGATAAATAAGTGTTTAACAATGTATTTTGAGTAACAAAATTGATAAAATAAGTGTTTAAAGTCATAATTGACTTGTTAATTACATTTTATGTAATATAAATAAGTGTTTAACGTTATGTTTTGAATAAAAATACAGTACGGATCAGGTGCCAGGTGCCGATCATTTTTAATTCAGCACCTTGCTGAATGGTTAAAAGATAATTACACTTAATTAATATAATCAAATAATATAATTAATATAATTATATATCTTTTTTTTTATAACTATTCAGCAGGTGCTGAAAATTATATTTCAGCACCTGATCTGTAGGGATAAAAATATTGAATTTTTTTTTTAGTACATCAAAAGCAATATTAAATTCAAATTACGTGACTAAAGCTATTAAATGAACCAAAATAAGCTTGAGTATATGTTATTCAAGCTCGACTCATACGTATTATCGGTACAAACTTAACTCGACTTCAAGGTCAAGCACAACTTGTACAGTTCAAACTCAAGGTTGAGTAAGACTTCAAATTGAATTTGATATAATGTATATAATATATAAATTATATATATCTAATTCAATTCCTCTGTTAAGTTGATAAAAAATTTCTATCACCTATTTTGGCATATTGACAAATTTTCTTTTTGTTGTTGTGGTCGTTAGTTACAAAAAAAAACAACATTTGACCCAGCTGATGAGACTCAATTGTGTAGTATTTTCTAATTGTCTTTTATTGTCTTTCCTAGGAATTGTGGGTGCTCAAGACAAAATGGACATTTTAGTTTGTTCTCTTATGGTTAGAGGTGAATAGATACACATCATTCCTTGTTTGTATCAAGGAAATTAATTGCATGTCTGCAACATGCCTGTTGTGGTTGCCTTACATAGCTCGAGGGGGAAAGTGTGAATAGTAGTGGTTTTGAGATAGTGTGTAGTGAGAGAAATATTGTATCAATCCTCTCAACTTCTTCCTTTCCCATCTTCATGCTTTGAGTGAGTGATATACACTATTATCTTGCCGGAGAAGTTCCTCAGTCGAAGGGAGATCGGAGAACATTCAGAATCTGAGCTGTCCAGCTATGTGTTAGTTGTCAGTATGCGATTGTGACAATGTATGTCTGTGGAGAGAATTTTCTAGGTAATCAGCTTGTAGTTTGGGTTGACAGAGGTTTGGGTGTTTTGTTCTTAATAAACACTAATTAATGAATCTCTCCTAGATTGATATCCCCTGGATGTAGGATGGTTTATATCCGAACCGGGTAAACAAATGACTTGTCATTTATTGTTTTGGTCTCTTCATTTATTTCATTGACAAGTCGCCGTTATAACTGTGATATAACTATGCTTCGGGAGTTGGCCCTTTTGAATAAGTGTACGAGAATTTATTGGTGCAGCACTTATTCTCTCCCAACATCCTCAACTTATTAAATTCATATTTAAATTCTACTAACTGTAGCAAGTTTAAACCTATTAAAGATGTTAGTGTGTTTCTTTTGCTCCCAAACTTCGAAATACTATTATTCGGATTTTATGTTTTTCAAAAAAATATATCATTTTTTTTTACTAAATATCAAATTATAAATTATTTTAATGTCAAATGCAAATCAAAATTTAATTTCAAAATTTTACTTTGCCACCGCAGGGCCGCCACCACCTCCGGCCTACTCGCGCTGTTGTTGCTACCACCATCACCACCAACCACCGGCGGACCTATATTGGGGAAAACTATTTCTTAAAGGTATTTTTTTTTAATAAAAAATTATACTCTTATCTTATCAATTTCAAATAATGGAAAAATAAACATTACTTATTGTTGTTGTAGTTTGTTATATTGTAACATTTTCAAAATATAACAAGTCAAAATAATAAAATTATCTTGACATTAAATAAATTATGAATTTTGTAAGTTTTAAAAAATAGCCTATCTTTAACCAAATTTCGATTACGCCACTACTACGAACACACTAGACCAAATTCATTCTCACCCAACTAATCATCCTTTTCACACCACATCAAACGGTTAAAATTTGATACATATAATATGATACAAATACACTATTATTAACGAATTCAATTGAATTATCCCAAAGCTGAGAGTTGTCTATTCCATAGAGAGTCAAGTCGACCTTATTAGTTAGCTCCTCGATTTGTTTAAGGGCTCTACATATGACTTGTCCCATTATTCCAATATTTTCTTGAGTATTCAACCCATAAAACATAGACAAATTTTGGGTGTTGGATAAAGTTACAACCACTCAATTTTCCCAACTTATCTTAATTAGCTACCTTTAAAAACCATCTTTTTATATTACCCACACCAATCAAAAGAAAATTCCATTCCGAAACATTAATCAAACAAAACTTTTGCACAACTTTTATTTTCCCATTAATTTATTTATCCAAAAATAATTAAAAACGAGTAGTCAGTAATCTCATCACTCAAAAATCCTTAAAACACAAACACCGGGAAATTCTTGAGAACTCCAGGGACCCGAGCACCCACCAATTCATACATCAGGTCCCGAGGTCCCGGGACTCACTCTCAGTACGGCTTCTCGCCGACGTAATTCCCCGGCGGATAATAGTCGCAGACCATAAAAACGCCGCGGCCGCCGCCGCAGACCGCCCTGGCGCAGCCGATCCTCCGCGTCCCCCGCCACACGATCTGCGTGTAGTGGCCGCACTCCTGGCCGTAGGAGCACGAGTTGGCGTAGTAGTTGTAGTCCCGCCGCTCCGACACCCACGTCGCCGACGCCTGCGCCGCCGTCCAGCCGTCGCCGCTCCCCCAGAAAATGTTCTCTCCGTACGGCCCGTTGGAGTGCTCCAGCTCGCAGTCGCGCCGCCGCTGGTTGGCGTACCACGCCGCGTACCGGGCGATCTTCGCGTCCCATATCAACGGCGGCAGCCGCAGCGCCGCCCGCGCCGCGTTCTGCACCGCCAGAAACTGCTGCATGTCCGACGCCGCGCCGGCCGGCGCGGCGGCGGCGACGAAGAGAAGAGCCGCCACGGCAGCCAAGCCGTGCCAGAACCTTGTCATGATCGATAATTATTTTTGCCTAAGTAGTTTTCTCATTGAAATTATTGTGTATATGTGTATATATATATATATATATGTAGAGGGAGAGAGAGAGTAAGAGAGAGAAAATTCATTGCCCTATGTTTTCAAATAAATTGATTATAATCTATCCCTTCGTAATCAATAATAAATTTTTTTTTTTTTTAATTTTATATATTTATATATTTTAATTATTATTTGATAATATATTCGTTATACTTTCAGACATTTTACTCAATATATTTTTACACATTATCAATTACAGATTAAATAGTAGCATGTCTTTACACACTATGTGTCACAACTAAAATACTAGCCTCTATTTTACACAATATTTTTTTTTTTTTTTTTTTTTTTAGCATTATTCAATTTTTGAAAAAAATATCGTATAAAATACTAACTTTTTTATAGTAATATATTTACAAAATTCCAAACATGTCTCCAAAGAGATATACAACTATATATTTGTCTGTCTTTTAATTTGTTAGAATCATTCATATCGATATAACTAAATGTAAGTTTAAAAATACTTGTTAAAAAATGTATATATATGAATAAATAATATTTTCTAATTTACATTATAAAAGTAAACATGTGTATAGAATATAATAAAATAAAATAAAGTAGTTGAAATTGAAGGGTTTAAAGTGTCAAAGATGGGGTGGCACCCATGTTCGATAATGATTGTCACATCTTGTAACTACTTGAGAATAATTTTAATTTAATCTTATTTATTAATTACCAGTACATTACTACAACTTATTTGCCAAATAGAATATATATATATATATATATGTGATGAAGGACACTATACTTATATATATACATATACGTGTATATATTTGACAAAGATATTGTGTATCTAGAGTTTACAAATTAGATGAATGATTATATATATATATATATATATATTATTAAGCAAGATTGGAGAGAGTAGGTTCATTTGATTAATTATATTTGGGATTAAGTCAAATTATTCCTTTTTTTTAAAAAAAAAAAAAATAGAAATGTTTGTACATTTATTGAATAAAGGAAGATAATATTTTTTGTTGCTTTTAGTCTTTCATACATATATTTATATATATATATATATATAATTATGTGATAGGTGTACTAAAACCTTTTGGTATACATATTAGAATTAAGGAAAATATTGAATTAGAATTAAACCTTTTTAGAAATACTCATTTAAAAACTATATATTCATTCATATACATAATATATATAAATGAAAAGCAGTTATAAGACATACGAGTATGTTTATATGAAAGGTATCAATTTTATTTTTTATTTTTTTTTTAATTTAGATACAAAATATATATATTTTTCTTTTGTAAATGTGAATACAATATTAATTAAATTCCATATATATATATAAGTAAATTAGTACCTTATAGTTACATATACACGTATGGAATATTAATAATTACTAATATTAGTATTTAATATAATAAATAATTACTTGGTGGTAATTATAAAAATTACATTAAAAAAAAAAAGAAATTGGCATGGGAAAAAATTACTTAAATTAAATATATCATTATATATACAATTATTTTATACATAAAATCAAATTTACAAAAATATTAAAAAATTTTACCTACTTACACTAACCAATAAAATATTACTGTATATTTTTTCATCTAATACAATACTCCAAAAAGTCCCTGCAACAAAGGACAGAGAGAGTATTAATTAATTATAAAAATATCATATTAGAAACGAAGTATTATCTTCATAACTTTATAAGATTTGTTTATTTATGATTTTAAAACAAATCTATACTATTTTGTATTCAATCACTATAATTTTTAATAAAAATATATTATTTTATTTTATAAAATTTTATATCAAAATATTATTTAAATTAAAATTAAAACTAAAATTAATACACAATCATTTGAAATAATTTCAAACACAACAAAACAAACCCTAATATTTTTGTGATTTTTTATGTAAGATAAGTAAAAAGTACACTGAAGAATAGTAAAACATACAAAAATAAAATAATAAGGTGAATATATTCTAAATTTTTATCCGTTTGTTTGGATAATTTTTTAGTATATAATCTTCATAACTTCAATATAAATAATGTTTTTAGTATCTTTTAAAATTCAAATCAATAGTATTTATTTCATACCGTTATAGGGGTTCTTCATAAAAATATACTAATTCCGTCTACAAACTAATATCTTATTTTTCTATTTGGAATGTAGAATAACTATAGTTCTATTTTTTTTTTTAAATACAAATTTTATATTTTTGTCTTTCATTTATTTATTACTTTTAATCTTTACCTTATCATAAAGGATAAATTTGATAACTCATACCAAAAAATAATTATCTAAAAAATTGTGCAAATATACTTTTGGAACAATTATAAATAGACGAGGAAATATCATATAGTATTTAATTATAACGGTAAATATAATCCAAACATAGCATGTATCATGTCTGAATACTGTTTAATTAATAATAAAAGCGGGTTGAAAGAAATGGCAAGCGAAATCTACGGAGGTAAGTAGAAAGCAATGATTGGACAAAACGAGAATTTGTGCCTTAACTAGCGGCACGTGACCTGTTGTTATCCCTTTTAACTACCGTTTGTTTGTTTGGTTGTTATTTTAGTTGGTTGTTTTAAAAAGTAAAAAATTTAAATTTTAGCTAGTTTTGTACTAATTTCTTTTTTGAAAAAATATTATTTCAAATATATTTATTTCTTATAATTAAATACTAATTTATTATTATTATTATTATTTTTATTTTATTTTATTATTATTTTTTTTTAATTTCAAAACACTCTCTAAATGAAGCCTTAGAAAACAATGAATCGGGGAAATTTTGAGTGGCACAGTGGTAGAGGATCTTTGGATCAGAAGATTTACCTATAAGAACTCGACTCTTTTACATATTACAATTTGAAAGAATTTCTAGTGTTTGCATGTTTTAATTTAAAATTAAAAATTTTTTATATAAGTTTTAGTTTAAACGGTAAATTGACATGCTATTTTGTTAAAAATAGTATATTTTCAATGAGAACTATGTTATTCTGACTAGAATTGATTTATATTTTAAATGACAGACGTTTTGTTCAAAATTTACAAAATATTGGTGTTACTGCTAAATTTATTATCCATAAGGATGATGCTTCGAAACGATTGAAAGTGATAAAGAAACAAAGTATATAAAATGATGTTAGATACTATGGGTGCAATAAATATGACTATATTCGAGCTGAGTCTGCAACGGCCAAGAGAAATAATAAGAAAGTCATGTGAGTTACACGAAGCAATGAAGAAACCGAAGAGCAAGAATCTATCTATGACAAACAAGAAAGTGTCGAGGGTGAGGTAGTTGCATTTACTGTTCGCGATGATAAGAAGAATGAAGAAAATGATGATGTCGAATATAATTAAATGATATTTAAAGAATCGGTTGAGGCATATGACATGGTAGTAGGTGCACACAAAGTTGTGGTTCTCCAACAAACTGAAAACATTTGTCATAAGGTTGGCCAAAAAAATTTTAGACGTTGATGGGAGTAGATGAAAGATTAGCTTAAATGAATGATGAATATTTTGCAAAAAATGAAAAATTGCTTCAACTTTCGAATGAACAGTCGGAGAAAATTAGCAAGTTAAAAAAAAAAGAAGAAGAGAAATTAGTGAGTAAAATCAATCGATTGATGAAAGACAAACAAAAAACTTGATAAAGTATTGAATGTTGAAAAACTATACTATGACAGTGAGATTGATTATACACATGGATTGAAACTTCTCAAACAACATTTGTCAATGGTAGATTGCTCTCTGAATCAACAGACAGTAAAAAAAATAAATAAATAAATAAATAAAAATATTGAACTAGATTTTGTTCCAAATTTTTTTTTAAAAAAAATTGATGGAATGTTCAATGGTAGGCAAACAATTGCGAATTGCGGGTATTAGGGTTGATCCTAGGCATGGGCTACCCGAACCCACGCCTAGGCCCAAATTTTTGGGCTCCTTTAGGAGCCCAATTTTTACAAATATATATATATATATATATTTATACACTACATAATAAAATTTATATAGGTATAATATAAAATTTTATATTAAACTTTTTTTTTTGTATTTAAATATAAATATATTTTATTGACAATACAATGAAATAAATTAAAAAAATTAAATAATTTTTTAAATTATTAAAAATATTAATTATATATATAAAAAAAAAAAAATTAACAAAGAGTCAGGGATGGCCCTGGCAGGTAAGCAAACGAATAGACTGTGATTGTACTTAAAAGAACAGATTAGGTGTAAAATGCATATTTAACACAACTCCTGCGTGCTTAATTAAATTCTTAAAAAATAAATAAAAATAACCGCAAATTTAGTAAAATAATGACGAGTAAAATTCAAAATAAATATCGCGCTTAACAAAACCCAGCAGCTCTAAAATCCGATTAATCCCCTCAAGAAATGTTCTTTAACTGATAAATACGGATGAAATCAAATCCCTCGGTAATACAATTCGAATAAAATCCTAAATCTTACTGCCGCCGCACTGTTCTCTTTCCTTCGATCGATTCCCTTCCCTTCCCATCATTTTCATTTTTTCGAGATTCCTTCTCTTAAAGAAACCTCAAAACTTTCCATGATCGCCGTAGCCGATAATCTTGTCCGCGCCGCGATTCCGTGCCCTAAACCCAATCCGAATCTTCAATTTACCTGCGCTGCGGTGAATCTCCGATTGGGGCGGAGGGAGAGAGGGTTTCGTGGATTGGGAGGAATGGAATTCGTGAGCAATTTGGGTCGGAGCTGCTTCGGCGGGTGCGGGTCGGGTCAGGATCGGAGGAAGGTGGAGGTCCACTCCGCGAGCGGCGGCGAGGACGTCTTTGCAGCGGCGCACGGCGGAGTTCAACCTGATCATCTTGTCATAATGGTCAATGGGATAATTGGAAGGTATAAAATTGGGGATTATCGATTTGATTTATTTCAGGGTTGTCTCTAACCTTAGGACATTTGATTTAAGATTGTTCTGTTTAGGCAATTGATGGATAATGTTCGTGATTTCGAGCAATCTTAATCTTCGAATTGTGCATTTTAAATGTCTAGTTTGTGTTCGAATTTCATGTTCAGTGCTGCAGATTGGAGATATGCTGCTAAACAGTTCGTGAAGAATCTTCCCGATAAAGTCGTTGTACATTGTAATTGAATTCTTATCTATGTTCATCTCTAATTCTTGCAAATTCGAACATAATTTCGATGTTTTCATGGTCCAATGACTGTAAATAGGCAGCGAGTGCAATCCGTCGAGGTTAACATTCGACGGGGTCGATACAATGGGAGAAAGGTTAGCCGAAGAGGTACTATGTTTGTGGCAAATTCGAATGTCATAAAACATTATACGGTAATGAAAAAAGTAATCGATTTGGGGAGAATTACGATTTCGATTTTCAGGTAAACGACGTTATACGGCGATGGAATGGCATTTCGAAGATTTCGTTCGTGGCCCATTCGTTAGGCGGACTTGTTTCGCGCTACGCCGTTGGAAGGCTCTACGAACTTTCGATGACAACCCGCGATCGATCGTTTCGAGGACGTATCGGGGGATTAGAGCCGATGAACTTCATCACTTTCGCGACGCCTCATCTAGGCTCGAGAGGGCATAAACAGGTGACGATTTTTTGTTACTAAATTTGATGAATCGTTGAATTATCCGAGAATTTGTTATGTTCGACTCATGTGTGTATTATCTCGTTTTATTGTGTAATTTAAGCTCCCGCTTCTTTGTGGCCTTCCGTTTTTGGAAAGAGGCGCGTCTCAGACAGCGCATTGGATCGCCGGGAGATCGGGAAAGCATCTTTTTCTTAAGGATGACGACGACGGGAAACCTCCCCTCCTAGTACGGATGGTGCAGGACTGCGATGATCTTCAATTCATGTTAGTACGATGTTTTGCGTTTGATGTTTTTTTCGTTTCTTCTAACAACATCGTATCTGTTGCACATCGCAGCTCCAGTTTACGGGCGTTCAAGCGCCGCGTGGCGTATGCCAACGCGAACTACGATTGTATCCTCGAATCCAATTCTTGAACTCGCCATTTACTTTCGCGTACTCGTGTTTACCTTTACTTGTTCTTAAGATGTTGTAGGATGGCAAACTTCATCGATACGCCGTCAGAATGAACTTCCGAAGGTTAGTTTTCAGTTATTACACTTGTACGCTCGGAACTTATTACAAAAATACTTACGGAGTGTTTGGTACAGAGAATCGAGAATAGAGAAATAACTTGTTCATTTGGATCTGACAAATAAATCATTTATTATTCTTATTTTCATTTTCTCTATCAGCGGCAGAGCAACGGAGAGAAATGAAAATGAAGAATAATATTGTTTATCCATTTAACTTTTATGATTTTTAAAAAAAAGTATATTATTCCGATTTCTGATCTCATCAAAATCACATTTAGGTTATTAATTCATTCTCTCATTTTCCACCCGCAATACACAGTCCTCTCTAAATTGATTCATTTGTCGTAAGAATCAGTTTTTATCGTTTACTGAATTCTTTTTTTCTACAAGTCTATTATATGCTATAATTTCTCTGTACCAAATACATCTTTTCAATTATCGACTCCCGTCTTCCATTCATATGAAGCCAAATCTACTTCTCGCAAACGACGTGAAGTATCCCCACATTGTCCATACCGAGTGGGGCGTAAACAGCGACGAAGAAGCTAACCAATCATCCTCTGCCATCGGGACACAAGTCATCGACTTAGAAGGTCAGTCGGATACAACTACGACGATTATGTTTCTTTCGCCCCCTCGACTAGTGCAGATGTCATTTGTCTCGATTTTTACAGAGGAAATGATCAGAGGCCTAACACAAGTTTCTTGGGAGCGCGTCGACGTTAGCTTTCAAAAAAGTAGACAGCGATATGTCGCCCACACGACCATTCAGGTAAACGATCTCTCTCAATATATATATATTTATATATAAGCAAATGAATTTGGCGTCGATTCCTCAGAGCGCTCGATGGATGATGATTTTTGGGTTTAGGTTAAGAGCTACTGGTTGAACTCCGACGGGGCCGATGTTGTCCAGCATATGATCGACAACTTCGTTTTGTAATGTAAGAATAATGTTTGTAGTTTGAGTTGGGTTTGGGGCAATTTTGGTTAGCAATTTGAAGCTAAGGTAGTGTGAGAAGTTGAGGATGTGTGTAATTAATTGTACAATGTAGTAGAAAGAATGGTATTGTTGTTGCTGCTACCTAGCAGCGATTGTTGATTATCACGTTTAAAAAAATAAAAAAAGAAAAACTTGTTTATGCTTAAAAAGCCACTAATATTTTCGGATATTTTGTTTATGACAGTTAAATTTTATTTTTTAAAAATAAATAAATAAGTACAAATGACATAATTGTACAAAATACTCTTTGATAGTTTCGATTCTATTGGTTATTTTAGATGGTATAATTTCATTAAATGTTATATTTATAAAATATTTTTATGAATTTTATCTTTAAATGTAAAATGAGAAATTATACTTCTTTCATTTGTAATAATATTTCAATGTAAAATCAAATCTAATATTTTTTGAGGATTTCTTTCATTTGGAAAAGAATATTACACACAAATGCATATTTTATATACCACAACATTTAATAATGGTTTTTACATTAAAACTGCAACACATAAAACTTAAAAGAAATATGTAAAATTTTAATTCAAAATTTTAATTTCCTATTAATATGATAATTTGCTATAATTAGTTAATTTAGTTTTATCCCCTTGTGCGCATTTATATAAATGGAAACTTCATTATAGCCTTCCCATTATTATGAATTACATCTTAATTTTATTACTTATTCTGTTTAATTAAATATATATTATATACATATTTTAAAACCAAGCCAGACCGTTGAAGATTCTTCGGTTAAAAAAAAAAAAAAAACTTTGGTCAAATTACCCAAAGTCACTCAAAATTTTAATACAGTAAAAAAAAAAATTGGAATATTGAACAGATAGACTTCTCGGCAGTCGTGCCACGTCATCCTCAACCAATTATTAAACAGCAACCTTTCCCTATGAAATGGGCTATCGATTAAAAACAATTATATATTGATTAAAAAATTATCAAATTTATTAATTAAATCATTTTTTCTCACTAAATAACAGATAAATATCACCAAATAGTGAATTTATTTTTTTTTGGGATAAATGTTGATATTTAATTACTATTACTTAAATTATCAAATAAAAATCGGCCTACTATAAATACGTCAGTTGCGTTGCCATTTCTGTATTCATCGGCGTCTCGAGTCCAGCAGTCCATCTCTATCCCTAAGTGCGTTTCTCGCTCCGTTCCGTGAATAAATTCATGGATATTGTTGTTGCGATGATGATGTTTGAGTGCAGAGGAGTGTGTATTTGTTAAAGTTTTCTTTTTCGGCAATATTTGGGGTTTTAGCTGAATTTGTTTGTTGGAGGGGTTTTTGGTGTTGTTTTGTATGCTTAGATTGGGGATTATTGGAATTCCGAGGATTTTATTTTGATAATCTACGATCAGCTAGTGGTTAATTACATATTTTTCTGTGAATTTGCCTGTGTTAAGCAAACGTGAGTGATTGGTGATTGATTTTTGTGTATTTTTGACCGAATTGCAGAGATTTTTCTTGCATGCGGAGTTGAATGGAGATGGAGAGTTTGAAGGCGTTGTTACTGTTTATTTTTCTGCACGCAGCCTGCCAAGTAGCGGTAGAGATGCAAAAATTTTCAAGTCGTTTGATTCCTTTGTTTGTTGATTGTGTTGATATGTTGTGTTAATTTTGTGTTTTCGTGAATTGAATGAAAATTAACCTAGATTTCTGCTGAGCCAAAAACATGTCCGGCTGACTTTTCTAGTGGTTGTGCTGCTGATTCTGATGAATGGAAGGGGGAGTTCTTCCCTGACATCCCTAAGATTAAGTATGAGGTAAAAAATTGTGTGCCTATTTTAGGTCACATATTCATCAATCGATTTGTATATGGGGTTGGTTCGAAATGATTGTGTGAGGCCAAATGTGTTGTTAATAATAACAGGGCCCTTCCAGCAAAAATCCACTGTCTTTTAGATGGTATAATCCTGAAGAGGTGATCCTTGGGAAAAAAATGAAGGTATGATTGTGTTAAACTATATATCGAATCCTGTTTTTGTATTTTTTCAATGATCTGAAAGGAGTGTAAACCCTGATTTCTGCAGGATTGGCTGAGGTTTAGTGTTGCTTTTTGGCACACATTCCGTGGGACAGGGTTAGATCCATTTGGTGCACCAACAAAGATGTGGCCATGGGAAGATGGCACTAACTCCTTGGCAATGGCTAAGAGAAGAAGTAGAGTAGCTTTAACAAGTTTCTGCTCTAAATGTTAAACATTTGGTTTTGAAATTTGCTTACCTTACCATTTTTTGGATTGATGAATTAGTGAGGGCAAACTTTGAGTTCATAGAGAAGCTTGGAGTTGAGAAATGGTGCTTCCATGACAGGGATATTGCTCCAGATGGTAAAACAATTGAGGTTAGCAAGTATACGATGCTTGCAATGTTTGTTTATTACTAGGTTGTCTGTTTGTTTTGAATGCCCACCTCAATGGAATAAAATAGAAAAACTTTTTCTCTCTACATATATATTAGTTTTTTGTACATTAACATGTTTGATTTTGGTTTTATTTTCTTGTAGGAAACAAATGCTAACTTGGATGAAATAGCAGCTCTAGCCAAAGAGCTTCAGGTAATTTTATACCAATTTAATGAAGAATGTCTAGCTCTTGTGTATCTAGTTTTATGTTTCCAATTTTTTGTACAACATAATGTATGATCTTTCAGTCAAGCAGCTATTCATTGAAGCTAATTTTCTCAATTTTGTTTATAACTTCAGGGGAAAAAGATTGTTCCTTTGTGGGGCACAGCTCAGTTGTTCCACCATCCGAGATACATGCATGGAGCTGCAACTAGGTAACCTAGTGAATTAATTTCTTTGATTATATGTGACGGTACTCTAGTCGCTGTGCTACTGGACCTGGGCTTATATTCTTACTTTGTTTCTATATAGCTCTGAATTGGGAGTATTCGTATATGCTGCAGCACAGGTCAAGAAAACCATGGAGGTGGGTGATTGACTTATCCAGTCATATGTACATGCAACTTACTGTGTTTATATTACGGCTGCCATTATTTTTATTCGTTGTTTAATTTTTAACATTCCACTTTGTGACCATATAGATTACGCACTTTCTTGGTGGAGAGAACTATGTGTTCTGGGGTGGCCGTGAGGGATATCATTCTCTGTTGAACACGGACATGGAAAGAGAACTCAATCACATGGTCAGATTATTACACCACTTTCCTTTACTATGCTTCTTTATGGATTGTAGGTTTCATGTTTCTTGAATGTCCAAAGTTTGTGCTGAAAAAGTGACTGTATGTATAGATGCTAGGAGGTGTAGTTATAATGATTAGGGAATTGTAGCTAAGTTCTGGTCAGTCATAATATTCTGAAGTTTTGAGTTTTGCAGGCAAGGTTCCTTGAAGCGGCAGCTGCCTATAAAAAGAAAATCGGTTTCAATGGTATGTTTCAACTAGACTTAGTTACGTTGCGAGGCAATATCTCTTATTGTTGTTATGCTAACATACATGATCATCAGCTATTGTCCTCGATTCCATAATAACCAACTTTGTTCGCTATGTTCGATGACACTTCAACAAATTGATAGAATATGCTCGTGCTTAAATTTGTTTTCAGGTACACTACTGATCGAGCCTAAGCCCCAGGAGCCCACAAAGCATCAGTACGATTTTGTTAAATGGTTTGCATCAATTCTGATTAATGTTTTGTGTATGACACATGCCATTGATGGATTCCAGGTATGACTGGGATGCAGCGACAGCTGCTAACTTCCTTCGCACCTATGGATTGATAGGTAATTCTGGCATCAATCTTCTATTCTTTTCTTACAGCAAAATATAGTATGTTTGTAGTGCTATTGCTCTTTCTTCTTTCTTCCTTCAATGGCTAACAGAATGTTTCCTTACCTCATCTGTTGTGCAGATGAATTCAAACTCAACATCGAATGCAACCATGCTACTCTATCTGGTCACAGGTTTGTAATACTCTGAACTACATCTATCACGATTCACTCTATTCAGGCATTTAAATATTTCCTCATATCGTCTGGCTATAGCTGTCATCACGAGGTTGAGACTGCAAGAATCAACGGTCTGCTTGGGAACATTGATGCAAACTCTGGAGACCCTCAAGTTGGTATGATCAAAATAAAATAATTATCCTGCATTTACGATCTAAGTCTATGATTTAAGTTGTTTGACACGCAACGTATGCTGTGCTGCAGGCTGGGACACCGACCAGTTCCTGATGGATGTAGGAGAAGCAACTTTGGTCATGCTCTCTGTTATTAAAAACGTATGCCAAATATTCTACCCTGTGATGATGCCTCACCCAAACAAAATAATCCATAAGCCTGTCTTATATGACCTTTCGACTGTTCTGCAGGGAGGATTGGCACCGGGAGGGTTTAATTTTGACGCAAAGCTGTACGTCCTCTTCAATTGTTTTTATTTGTCCTTTTATCAGTTTGTCTGCAGAATTAACACAGCCCGCGTAACACATCAAGATTACATTGACAGAAGTCTAGTTAGTTTGAGTTTAGGTAAATGCCTTGCTCACATTCACATTCAGACACCCATGTTGTTGGTGTGCTTGACAGGCGACGAGAGAGCACGGATGTTGAGGACATTTTCATCGCACATATTGCCGGCATGGACACTCTGGCACGTGGTCTACGAAACGCTGCAAAGCTCATCGAGGTCCTCCTTTCTCTACACTTTCATTTCCTTTCATAGGTATCGCGATGTCCTAATATCCTCGTGTTCAAACAGGACGGCGCTTTGACTGAGCTAATCCGGAAGAGATATCAAAGCTTTGACTCGGAACTCGGCTCCCAGATTGAGGTCAGTCTACTTACAATAGCAATTCTCTTCTTGTCTATATTCCATAATTAACATGTAGCTCTGCCACAGGCTGGAAAGGTTGACTTCGAATTGCTCGACAAGAAAGCCAAGGAATGGGGCGAGCCGAAAGTCCCTTCCGCCAAACAGGTAACAATCTATTCAAAACCACAATAGTTTTCCAAGATACTATTAATTGACAGTAATTTTTAAAAATATATAGAACTATATGTACTATTTTTTATTATTTCTAAAACTTTTCGAAATTTCAAACTTTCAAAGTTTTTATCTAAACATTCATATTGCTCGGAATTGCAGGAGCTAGCGGAGATGATATTACAGCGAGCGATATAGACGACATGACCGAACGCCGGCTGGGACACATGTTAGGTATGTTATGTTTTAAGGTTGTGTTATGCTAGAGGTCCGTCCAGTACAAGTTTGCGCCACTCGTTTCTATAGTGGCAGCGGCAACGACGGCAGGCCAGATGAGGGTGGTTGTGTATGGTCGACGGACGCTTGTTTCCGGTCGGTCATTCTTGTTTTTGTTCGGACAGCGATAGATTCAGAACCAAATAATTAACCAACACGCCCGTGTTTTTCGTTTTATTGTTTTTTAGGTTTTTAAATATTATTTTGCTTTAAATATTTAAAATACTAAAATAAACTTAACATGCAGATATATATATATATATATATAAAATACACAGAGGTATTCCGTCCGGCTGAGGTTTCACTACAAGAAAAAATCATTTTTGTAACAAAATTTTTTTGTCTTTAAATCTATTTTTTCCGTTACTAATGACATTAGAGACGGAAATAAAAACGGAATTACTTTAGCTACGTGAACTTTAGGGACGGAATTCCGTTACAAATATATTATTTTTTTTTGTAGTGTTTACACGGTATGTGTGTTTTTGAACAGCAGCAGGGGATTCCAAGTTATAAAAAATACTACCTTCGTTCTATATACATGTATGTTACATAATGATATAGTATGAAGGCAACGTAAATATAGTACGTGGGATGGAGGAAAATAATAAAATTAAAAAAAAAATACAGGCAAATAGATACACCGTAGAAGATAAGAAAAACGAGAAGTGTGACTGACAACGAAAGGACACATCTCATTAAGAGTGAATTTCATGTTGGTTGGCTAGGAACAATCACGTGATTCGAATCCTAGGGGCTAGGAGTGTCGGTTTTTACAATCCAGTTTATTGTATTTTTTTTAATAATAATTTAAATATAATATTTATAAAAAAAAAAAAAAAAAAAAAAGAGTAGTACGTCTATTTTTATGGAGGATATATAACAAGAAAATTAATAAATTGAATTTCAAGAAACAGGGTTTTTTTTTTGAAAAAAAAATTGTAATATTTGCGTTCATTATTTATGGGTTAGACAAAATACGTCACAAGCTAAATTATAAGTGGCAGACAGAAGCTAACAAGTTACACAACGCAAATTATATGTGGCAGATAGAAATTGAAAAATATTGACAATTTAGTAGTTATGATACATCACTTTATTAATAGGTGTTATTCATGTGCAATACACATGTATCTCAAATATACATGTATCTTAATTACCTTGTGTCATGTAATGAAGTTGATGATTAAGCAATATTTATATTGCTTATAAATAGCCATAACCATGAATGAAAAGAGAAAAAAAATTTAATTGCTCTTTCTGTCTCGTCTCTTGATCTTTATCTCTCTAAATTATATATATTCATATCCATACATATATATATAAACACACTTGTATTTATTTATTTAGCTCTCTATTTATTTATATATATTACATATTATTATTAGTAGTAATTTCATATTTTGCTATATATTATATAACAGTAGTCCAATTATTTAAATTTAAATTTTTACTATTTAAAATTTAATCCACCAAACAAAAACAAGTATATGTTATACCAATTATTAAAGCTGCTATGGGTTGGCCTAAAAGAGATTATAAATTGTGTTTTTTTTGTGGATTTTACTGTTTATTATTCAGATTTTTTTTTTTTAAAAAAAATATCACATCAAATAATTACGTATTTTTTTATATTATATTACAAATTTATTTTACATTTTTAAATATCACGTCAACTTCTATTTATATAATTTCAAACAACTATTCAAATTCAATTTTTTACTATTCAAAAATTCAAACCTAAAAACTAAAATCCACAGACAAACACACTTCATATGATTATAACAATTATATTGCTCGATGTGGTTGGATCTCTTTCAACGCGACTCGATTTCACTCACGCAACTGGACGTTCGCATTTGGACATCACTATCGGGTCGAGCATCGACTCTCCTTCATCGCCTCAAATTTTGTCATGCTTACAACGATCCGAAGCGATTCAAGGCGAAGGTAACAATAATATTAATAAATAAGATTCTATTAGAGTGGAAATACATTAATTATTTGTGTTGTGTATTTGTTGTTATTATATGGTATTTCGATCTCAAATATTTTAATTTATATTGTTCAAGTTATTTCTTGTCTCTTTTACTACTTTATATACAATGTATAAAACAAAAAGAACAAATTAAATACTAAGTATATACTATTTTCTGTCCTGTTCTAACGGTCTCGTTTACTTTTTATGAGTTGATTTTGAATATTAATTATTATATCAAAACGTAATACATTAAAATATATATATACAAAAATATTTCAATTACTATCTTATAATACTAATAGAATAATATTTGTAAAAAAATTATATAAATATAAAAATATTTTTAATATTAAGTACGATAATGCAAAAAGTAAATGCTATCCTTAGAATAAGTATATTTTTTAATCTATGTCATCCAAAATATTATGCAAAAAATGTGTAGATGTTGTCCATAAAATCTAAAATATTTATGTACACATTAGAGGATATTGATGTGAGGCAAAAATTAATTATTTGATAATATTTGTGCACTCTGTTCGCGTGCAATATGGAAATTTATGAGCCTATAACGTGTGAACAAATAGTATTATTATATGTGCACCAATCCAATTATTTATTGCTTTATAATTTCTCAATTACATGTTTTCTATTATAAAAAATCAAAAAATTTCAAAATCAAGTCACCAAAATTTTATTACTAAAATAAAATATATTTATAATATAAAAATAAGATGAAAAGCTCAAATATATGTCATTCGGCCGGTTGTCATATTCATGCGACGGTTGTTCCACACGTAGTTACGCACGGCCAAAGAATAAAAATTTCTATTTTTACAAATGTATAAAATATATTTTACCAACAAAATAAATATACGATAAAAATAATAATTAAATATACATAAATATATTTTTTTATAATTTTTTCTTTTTTATACGGAACTTATTTAAATTAAAATGTAAAACAAAAACACAAAATAAGGGTATATTTGATTTTGATTTATAAGTAAATCTTTTATTTAAAGTACTATTATTTTAATTAATATTTTTTTTATATATATATATATATATGTTATCAAGATCTATACATACTAATTAGTATATTTGTATTTTAACCACAAATCAATCACATCCTACTAATGTGTTTGATACATAGTGTTGAAGTAAAGAATCTCTTAATTTATTTTGGTACGAGTCTTCAATCTTTTCTGTTGTTGTCTTTCACAGATTTTTTTTTTTTTTGTTTTTTTTGAGGTAACTTGTCTCGTCTGATTACTGCAACAAGCTAATTACAACATGTTTTGTCTTATCTTTCGATTGGTAGCTTTATAAGACAAAATAGATGGATATTTTGGATTGATCAACTTGATAACAAATTTTATGCTGAGACACATGATATTTTTTATGTACAAAGGGTTTTAATTGGTTTTCTCTTTACATGCACAACATTATGGCTGTATAGTAATCTGTTAGGAGAGAGTTGGTTGTTGGAAATGTTTTGAGAGTTATGTGTAGTGAAAGAAATGTGTTACGTTCAATCTTCTCAACTTCAATATTTCTCTTCTCCATGTGTTAATTGAGTGTCTATCAGTTTTATCTCGTCGGAGAGTTCGCTGGAGGAAGGAGAAATTGGAGTTCCGATCAGGGGAGGCATCCAAATTATGAGCAACCTTCCTATTTGGTAGTTGTCAGTACGCGTTTGTATTATGGAGGAGTTTCCTTACGTAACCAGTATTGTAGTATGAGTTAAAGAAGTTTTGATTGTTTTTATTTTTAATCAGCATTATTAGTGAACTACTCTGGGATTGAAATCATTCGGGTTGGTTATAGCGAACTGGGTAACCAAATATCTTGTCATTTATTGTTTTGACCACTGTATTTATTTTGTTGACAATACACTGTTATAACTGTGACATAGTTACGTTTGAGAGTCCTTATTTAAATGTTCGAAGAAGTTTTGGTGTAACACCTATTCCCTAAAACATAGAAATGAAAGTAGATGAATTCTATTAAATAGAAATGTTTTTATTTTATTTTCTGTGGGTTTGAATAGAAATTTGTTTGTTTGAATAGAAAAAGACAAACAAGAGAAATTGATCCTACTTCCATATTTTCATTTATCTCAAAATAGAGAATATTGATTCAGTATGTTTATTTATTTTTCAAAAAATTTTACTATTTAATTTTTATAATTTTTTTATATAATATTAGTTCAGTCTTTCAATGTACAAAGTATCATATTTAATTTATTATTTAAAGTATTTAATTTTACAATTTTTTTTAAAAAAATATACTCTCTCCTTCTAACAATTGACACATTTCTATTTTTGGTAAAAATTATTAAATCTAAACATATTTAACAAATATAAATCAACTTAATTAACTACATAACATATAACATCGTAAATGACACACGACTCACTCAAAATCCTTTTATTTTCAAAATCCCTTTATTTCTATGTCTCTCCTCAAAAAAATAAATATTTTTATTTATATTTAAAACTTACACATCTTTTATAAAATTTATTTATGTTAATTATAAATAAACAAAAATATTTTTTTTATTTACTTGTTTTATAGAAAATTTTATTCTCTACAAAATTATATCCATATTATATATATTTTTTAATTGATATATAATTTTTAAATATTTAAACATATATTTTAATTTTTTTAATCATATATATTAAATTTACTTTCAAACTATAAATATTATTAATTATATGAAAAATAATATCATAACTAATTATTACTATTAACTAATTAAACATGCTTACTTTAAATACTGAATCCCTAGTCAAATGATTCAATTTCGGTCAAACGGCGGCGGACGGAGTACTAAATTCTGATAATTTCTTTTGATAAATTCATCCAAATTGCTATATTTTTTTTATCTATATATTTCAATTGAATTTTCTATTTTATTAAATAAATAAAAAAATTATCATATATTGAATTTTTTTATTTTATTTTTTGTAATTTTTATGTAATTATTATATCTAAACGCAGGATTCAAGTGTCCTTATCTGGAATTCTAAAGACATTAGTGTACTAATTCGTCCTCCATAGGCAATAGGCCATAAAAAAACAAAACAAAAAAAAATCCACGTGAAACGTGTATGAGAGATTATTTATTCATTTTTATTATTGTTAAATGACACATCTACAGATATTAATATGTTCATCCCTATGGGTGTGTTTGTTTGACGGTTTGAATTTTAAGTTGGGATTTGAATAGTAAATATTTTGAATTTGAATAATTGTATGATGTGATATAAATAGATATTGATGTGATGTTTTGAATGTAAAATTGATTTTTAGTATAATATAAAAAATGACAAAATAGGTGTTTGATTTAATATTTTTGGGGAAAAAAAATTGGATGAATAGTGTAAATTCAATCCATTCCCAAATCAAACACACATTATAGTTTGAAATTGAACTTTGAGTTTTTATTTAAATAAGATTTTAATATGATACTTTATTAAAAATTATACATAATAAATAATATTGATTTAGTTTTAAAATTAAAAAAGAACAAACTCTATATTATTATTATTATTCCCCGGGTCGGGTCGAGTATTATATTTAATTATACACCAGAAAAAATGAATATATTGAATTGAGACGAAAAAGACTATGATATATTTATTTTTTTTTTAAAAAAAGCAATATATTAAATAATATAGTATAAATATATCGGGTTTGTTTTTTTTCTAAAAAAATTTTTAACATGGATTTCTAAAAAAATTAATATACTATATATACTTATTATTTTTATAATATTATTTACATAATTCTCCATATTTTATATAAAAAAAATATATGTAAACCGAAACACAAAACAAACGCATCCACAAATATACAATCCCTATTATATTTAAGTAGCATATTGGTTTTAAGAAAGTCAAAGAGTAATTTTTGTTCATAATAATATAGACGTCATATTTTATAAAAATATTTATTTTTTTTCTATAGAAAATTACAATTATTATACTCCTTCCGTCCCATTCGAAGGTTGCTATTTTTCATTTTCATCCGTTCCAAAACAAGGTTACCATTTTCTAATTTAGTAATTGTACTACCTGTTTAACATAATAAATATCATTCAAACTTACATTATATTACAAAAATGTCGTTACTTTTATATTACACAATACTAATAGGGGTATTTTTGTCATTTCCACTACAATCCATTATAATACTAATATTAAAAAATCTACGTGTAAAAAGTAAACGACAACCTTGTTTTGGGACGGAGTGAAAATAATAAATAAAAATAAAAACAAATTCAAAAATAGCATAGCAAAAAGTTTGATATAATTGTTTAATAAGGTTAGGCAGCCCATTTGGGTTTAAATTTGATGTAATAAATGAAGTTCCTATAATCTATCATATCTATAAACCTCCAAATTTGACAATATTATAACTTTCCATTCAATTCAAAGTATTTTTTTTTACAATTTTTATCTGTCTCATTTTAAAGTATTTATTTTCTATTTTAAAAGAAGTAATAATATACTAATATTAAAATATTTTTAACTTTTATTTAAATTACTAATATACAATTATACGTACAATTATTTATACAAAAGTTAAAGAATAAAAATATTAAAATCTGTTATGCATTTCTACCCATTAATAAAATAATATTATTTTTTAATTTATTAAAAAACTTTTAAGGGACCCTTAAAAGGACGGAGTGAGCATAGCCCCCTATTCCTATGAGCATTTTATTTAATGGCTCTCATTATATCTATATTTACGACCACATAATTCAAGTCATAAATTTTATTTTATATATATATATATATATATATTAAAAGACGTTCAACGAACTTGTATAGTAAAAATAAATAATTAACAAAACTTTTATTTTAATCTTAAATATATATATATATATGTGTGCACGTGCGAGAATATAATTTTATTTAAATGTAAATATATTTAATTTATTTGATATTTTATATGTGAACATTATTATTCTCAAATTTTTTAACAATTTTATTAAAAACTCGGTTTTTTAATTTTTAACATTAAGTTTATTATTGTTTCTAATGTTCTATTTCTGATTTTTTTTTTTTTTTTTTCAAATGATCTAACCTCAATAATACTATAGGTATTTGTTGTATGAAAAAAACATATCTCTGAATGACAACTATGCATTATTATATTTATACTGTACAAATTTTTATTTATTTGTTTATTTATTTTGGATATCTCGAGTGTGTTAACTTCATATTTTATTTCAATTTTTTTTATTATTATTTAATATATGAACAATATTTCAATTAATATAAATATAATATTTTGCATTGAATGTTCATTTTTTTTTATAAATAAATTAAATATATTGTTATATATGGAAAATTATGTTGGTTAGACAAACAAATCATTTATATTATATTATTTTTAAATAAAATAATACTTACATACAATATTTTACATAAAAATAAATACATTTTCTTATTGAAAATGACAAAATTATATGATAATAAATTAAAAAAGAGTTACGGTATATATATCTTGTTGAATTTGATAGTAGATTAAAAAATTAATTAATGTTTAAATTAATATAAATGTATAAAATAATTTTGATAATTTAATTTTTTTTTTAATTTTATGTATATGTCTTATATGTTATAAATTCAAACCATGTATCATAGTTTCATGAAAAATGAGTTAAACTAATTAAACCTGGCAGCCGTTGACTGTCGGTTTGCACGTTGACTGTCGGTTGGCGCTTTGATTTTCTTTTATGTCTACGTAATTATGTTTCTCTTCACCAGTCACTTGTTGATATTTTTTATATTATAAGTATAATTAAGTCAAAAATATAAAATATATTATTTTAAATATAAATATTTATTATTTTTTATTTTAAATATTTTGAATTCATTACTGTATATACAAAATTTTAAGTAAAATATAATTAATAGGTAATTAAAAAATATATTAATAAAAGTAATTATTATTTAGTAAAAATAATTATAAATTAAAATTAAAATAAGTAAATAGTTTAATTAGAATTAAAAAAATTATAAAATTAATAATTTAATACGATTAAAGCGTATAATTATATTTTCAAAAATAAAAATGATAAATTATACGGAAATGACGAAAATAGAAAATAAGGATAAATTATGTGGGATGGAGAGAATACTATTATTTTTTACTTTTTTAATAAGTATTTGAATTTATTTATTTTTTAAATTTTTTTACTTTTGTAATTTTTTTATAATTATTTATTATTTTTCTAAAAAAAATCGTAATTCAAAAAATAAATAATTGAAAAACAGTGTGATTTTTTAAACCATGTATATTGTGAAATATACATATAAAAATAAAATAAAATGTAATTGTTATTTTACATACTATTGTAATTTTTAAATGTAATCATTTGTGTTATTTATTTTATTTGTCTTCATAAATTATAAATTTTACTTGATTATAAATCATATTTTTAAATATTAAATATGTATTGAATTTAAAAACAAATATATACATATTTACTTGATTTTTTTTTTATTTGAAATTGAGATAGTAGTTTTAATTTAAATAGTATTTTGATTTAATATTTTATAATAAAAAATAGTATATTTATAGTAGAATTTTTTGTTTGAAATAATAAGAATTTTAAAATAATAAGAATTTGAATTTGAATTATAATATAGAAACTAGTATTATTATGCAAATAAATATTTAATGTCATATTATTGAAATTATTTATTTTTATTTACTAAATATGATGTAATATGTAAAATTTTACTCACACCAATCATTCATTTTTAATTTATTCTGCCATGTGGGAACCGCAGATGAAAGTGAAATCACTCATTTAAACTCATGATTTTATTGACACAAGTTTCACGCCACGCTTATTGAAATGATAGAAACAACAAAAATCAAGATAAGCGGAAATCAACCAAACACACCCTCAACCACAAGATTCACAAGTCTTGCCCCTATATATATATATATATAACCATTTCTCCTTCACTTCCCATTTCTCCAGACACACTTTCACACAGCATATACATACATATATATTTATATATATATATACACAGAGAGATGTCTGCCATTGGAGTAATAATCAACAACGGCGTTTTCTGCTCGTCTCTCCATTACAATGACCACACCTCCACCTCCAAGCTTTTCTCCGCCGCCAATCTCCCCGTCGGCGGCGGCGCCGCCCACAACAACAAGGTCGGTCAGAATCAGAGATTACTAATTAATTACCATTATTACTATTATTTGCAATGTGTATCCAGATCATCGTCACCGATCCGTCCATTAATTGATTTGTCCGAACCAATTAATTAATTAATTAATTTTGTCACCAGGTTTTCAGGATAGCAGCAGCGCACGACGGCGCCGCCGCCGCCGACCAAAACGACATCGTTTTAAAGAAATTGCAGAAGAATCCGGCGCTCAAGTTCACCGGCGAAAAGCCCTCCACCCCTATCTTGGACACCATTAATTATCCAATTCACATGAAAAACCTCTCCCTCGACGTAATTAATTAATTAATTAACTTAATTTCGAAAATTCTCCAACAAATTATATTACAGCCACCATAGGTGTCCGTACAGGTGAATTTATGAGTAATTATATACATGGTTGCAGGAATTGGAGAGATTAGCAGACGAGCTTCGGGAGGAGATCGTGTACAGCGTGTCGAAAACGGGGGGCCATTTGAGTTCGAGCTTGGGGGTGTCGGAGCTGACGGTGGCGCTCCACCACGTGTTCAACGCGCCGGCGGACAAGATCATATGGGACGTCGGCCACCAGGCGTACCCTCACAAGATCCTCACCGGCCGGCGGCCCAGGATGCACACCATCCGCCAGGGCTTCGGCCTCGCCGGCTTCCCCAAGAGGGACGAGAGCCCCTACGACGCCTTCGGCGCCGGCCACAGCTCCACCAGCATCTCCGCCGCACTCGGTAATTTTTTCCGGCCACTTTTCCGTCGTTGGCCTTTTGTTGTCCCAAATTAGGTTTTTTTTTTTTTTTTTTCACAACTAAATTTCACAAAATCTATTTGCCCAATTGTATCAAATTTATAGTATTTCTAAAATTGTCTCTTTATAATTTCATAAATTTTCCGACGACTCCTAAAATTAGTGTTTGACTTGCCTCAAATGCGAATTAATATTTAATATTAATTTCTAAATCTATGAAATTATTGAAAGAATAATAAAAATACACTCTTAAAACATAATAAAAGTATTATTTTTAATATATTTACTATTTTTTTTAATTAAATGTAAAATAAATAAATATATTTATAATTTGAAAGATTTAAAAATTAAAATTTAAATCAATCATTGATAAGAAGATGAGGAGCTAGATCTCTAGTTTATTGAAACTATGAAAAAGTTTGACACACTATTCAAAATATAGAAATTTCAAGCAATTTCTTTTTTTTTTTTTTTACATCAAATTATATTTTTAAACTGAACCTTAACCCCTTACATCGTGTTTCTTATTATTCAGGAATGGCGGTGGGAAGGGACCTGCTAGGGAAGAGCAACCACGTGATATCGGTGATCGGAGACGGAGCCATGACGGCGGGGCAGGCCTACGAGGCCATGAACAACGCCGGATTCCTTGACTCCAATCTCATCATTGTCCTAAACGACAACAACCAGGTATCCCTCCCGACAGCCACCGTCGACGGCCCTGCGCCGCCAGTCGGAGCCCTCAGCAAAGCCCTGACTCGGCTGCAGGCCAGCCGGAAGTTCCGCCTCCTCCGCGAGGCAGCCAAGGTAAACAATCTCCGCCACCGCCGCTGCTGCAATTTCCGTTCTTACAATGCTTAGATATTCCTATGTAATCGAAATCCATGTCCTGTGCAAACAGAGCATGACCAAGCAGATGGGAGAGCACGTGCACGAGACGGCGGCGAAGGTCGACACTTATGTCCGGGGAATGGCAGGGCCGCCGCGAGCCACCTTGTTCGAAGAACTCGGTCTATATTATATCGGCCCTGTTGACGGACATTCCATCGAGGACCTTGTCCACATTTTGAAAAAAGTTAAGGAAATGCCGGCGCCGGGGCCGGTTTTGATCCACATTTTGACGGAAAAGGGCAAAGGCTATTCCCCGGCGGAAGCCGCAGCCGACAAAATGCACGGTATATTTATTAATGATTTTTTCATCTAAAAGTTTATATATTATTAAGGCAAAATTGTCCATAAGTGTTTCGAAACTCAGTGTAAATCTTTATTTACTTTAAAAATTGCATTGTGTCACTTTATACTTTAAAAAATATTGTATAAAATTTTTTTATAGTTTCGAAACTTGGAGGAAATCCCCACTTTACTTCAAAATTATACTTGATATTGCATAAACCCCTCTGTAATTTCAAAACTCGTAAATCCCTATTTTACTTTAAAAATTGCATAACATCTTCTTATACTTTAAAAAATATTGCATGAAACCCCATCATCATAAAAAAAATATAAATATGAAATCATCTTCTCATTACACAAGAGAAATTTTATGGTGTAGAGTTTCATGCAACGTTTATAAGATAGGGTCATGCAATTTTTAAAATATAAGAATATTATATATTAAAATTTGAAATCACAATAGACTTATAACTAATTTTACCTATTATTAATTAGTAAAACATTTTCGTATAGGTGAAATAATCATTTATCAATTCATTTGTGGTAAGAATAACAAATGATTGATCTATGGTTCAACAGGTGTCGTTAAATTCGACGTTAGGACAGGAAAACAGGCAAAGAGTAAGTCGAAAACAAAATCATACACTCAATATTTTGCGGAGTCATTAGTCGCCGAGGCGAAGCAAGACGACAAGATCGTCGCGATCCACGCCGCGATGGGCGGGGGGACGGGCTTGAACATTTTCCAAAAGCAATTCCCTGACAGATGCTTCGACGTCGGGATAGCAGAGCAACACGCCGTGACATTCGCTGCGGGTCTAGCGACCGAAGGCCTCAAGCCGTTTTGCGCGATCTACTCGTCGTTCCTCCAAAGAGGCTACGATCAAGTGGTCCACGACGTTGACCTCCAGAAGCTTCCGGTGAGGTTCATCATGGACCGGGCCGGGCTCGTCGGCGCCGACGGCCCCACACATTGCGGAGCCTTTGACACAACATACATGGCTTGTCTGCCGAACATGGTTGTCATGGCGCCGTCTGACGAAGCCGAGCTTATGCACATGATCGCCACGGCGGCTGCGATCGACGATCAGCCGAGCTCCATTCGATACCCCCGTGGGAACGGCATCGGCGCCGATCTTCCCGCCGACAACAAGGGAACGCCGTTACAGGTGAACATTCGTTAATTCATTCTCAAATTTAAATTTATATTTGGTCATATCTATATATTCCCTCTGTTTACTTTAAAGTTTATTTTTTCGTGTTTATTTTTAAACAGTATTAATTATTATATTAAAATATAGGGTAAACTGTTTTTTTCAAGTCTCATAACTGAACCTTATCATTTTAGTTCCGTAAATGTAGCATGTCGCAAACTAGTCTTATAAGTGAAATTTTTTTGTTGTTTTAGTCCTCCGGCGCCGGAGACGCCCGCGTGGCTCGCCGGAGGTGATGTGTCCGCCAGGTGTCCCGCCAAGTCAGCGACACCTGGCGAACACGTGGATTTTTTATTTTTTATTTCATTTTTTTAATTTTTTAAAAATTATTTTTAATTTTCTTTGCAATTTTTTATTTTTTTATTTGATCCAATTAAAAAAAAATTAAAATTAAATGAAAAAAAAATCCACGTGTCCGTCAGTTGTCGCTGACCTGGCGGGACACCTGGCGGACACGTCACTTTCGGCGAGCCACGCGGGCGTATCCGGCGCTGGAGAACTAAAACAGCGAAAATTTTTCACTTATGAGACTAGTTTGCGACAGACTCCATTTACGAGACTAAAATGATAAGGGGTCCAGTTACGGGACTAAAAAAACAGTTTACCCTAAAATATAATACAAATTAAGAAAAATAAAAGAAAAAAATATTTTTATTAGTGTCTTATAATACAAATATAACGACTTTTGTAACAAAATCTATACAAATATAATATAGGTGTGTTTACTTGTGAAACTTTGATTATGATTTTAATATTCCAATAATTTTTTTCCTAAAAAAAATCAAATCAAATACTTATTTTTTATTTATTATATTTCACTAAAATTTAATTTTACATTCAAAATATTACATCAATACATATTTATATCACATCAAACAACAATTTCAATTCAAAATTTTATTATTCAAAATCAAAATTGGAATATTAGTTTATTTATATTTGAATATGTCAAGTCCGTTTTGCGAAAAAGACCAGTTAGATTTAATGTCTTTCCCCGGTGCCGGAGGACTAAAACTCGAATATAAATCTGTTATATTTAAAACTGAAAATTTAAAATATAATGATAAATGCGTTCGATTTCTGAACAGATTGGGAAAGGGAGGATTTTGAGGGAGGGGAGCAGGGTGGCGATAATGGGGTTTGGGGCGGTGGTGCAGAATTGTATGGCGGCGGCGGCGATTCTCGACCAGCACGGCGTGCACGTGACGGTGGCGGACGCCAGATTCTGCAAGCCGCTCGACGGCGGTCTGATCAGACAGCTGGCGAAGGAGCACGAGGTTTTAGTGACCGTTGAGGAAGGTTCCGTCGGGGGGTTCAGCTCGCACGTGGCGCAGTTCTTATCGTTGAACGGTTTTCTCGACGGCAAGCTCAAGGTAATTATCAATTTAATCAAAAAATTATTTTTTATTTTTTAATTACAGAAACATAAATTAAATTAATTTGATTAATTAAAAAATTGAATCTTCAGTGGCGGCCGATGGTGCTGCCGGACAGATACATCGACCACGGCGCACAGGTCGACCAGATCGAGGAAGCTGGGCTCAGTCCGAAGCACATTGCCTGCACTGTAATGGCGATGGTATCCGGCGACGGCGGAAAGGACAGGCTGAAGTTGATCCAGTTGGAGTTTTAGAACCTGCTGACGTTGAAATTGTCGTCGCCGGCGACGACGTACGGACCGGTAAATTTTCTTGTAAGAGTTCAAGGAAGAAGAGGAAACGTGTAATAATGGACCGGGTCGGGTCGGGTCGGCCGGGGTCGGGTTATTTGTAATGGGCGGGGGGAAGTGTGGTGTATTTTATTTTGGGCTGGGTTATTGGGTCAGTTACCGGTAATGTAGAATGGCTGTGTAATATTTTTCTTTTGAATGAATGGTATAAATAGAAAATGTTGAAAAAAATCTAAAAAATTTAAAAATACATGAATTAGACTTTGATGTGAAATCAACCACTGAATTAAATCAAACACCTATTTTTATAATTTTTTATATTATATTAAAAATTAATTTTACATTCAAAACATCACAACGTATATTTATATCACATCATATAACTATTCAAATTCAAAATTTTTACTATTCAAATTTCAACTCAAAATTCAAACCCTCCAACAAACACGTGCATAGTATATAGATTACCGTTTCAATATTATAGCATGATGACTTCCGGTCACTCATTTTGCCCAATTTGGAGATAGATTAGGACATTATGCATTTTTGTAATAACATAATTAATTACATAACTATCCTTATTTTAATCACTATTAAATAATTTATAAATAAGTATGATTCCCTTTAGCAAAAATTGACAATAAAAGTTGAATTAATATGATAATCACACTTAAAATTATAAAGTCCAATGACTCGTATAAATGGCAATTTTTCATAGGTCCGACTACATGCGCCATGTCATGTGCCCAATCTTAAAAAAAATAATAATAATAAATTAGTTTATCAAACCTCAAATTGTAAATAATTCAATAAAATACTCAACACTATTAATTTAATATAACTACTAAGTTTGGTATTGTTTATAAAATAATCAAGATTAAGACAATCATAATGTCATACTCAATGGTAGGTTTTGTCCATTTTTTAATGAGATTCTAAAGTATACGTGTCGGGATTTATATAAATATATATTATATGAGAATTTGTAACAGTTAATTTTAAGTATACATTGAGTATTTTTCAAATGAATACAATAGCCTACAAATTTAGTAAATAAGTTAAGTGATATTAAGCAACTCATATGTACTATGCAAGACCAAGAAGACATCAATATAATTTAAATTAAAATTATTTTTATTGATACATTTTTTAATTATTTTTAATAAATAATTTTATTAAAAATATAAATTTGTAAGTTTTTGGACAAATTAAAATAAAAAACCACTTGTTAGGAGAGAGATGTGTGTTTTTTCACACACGTTTTCTTAATAAATTAATACACTACATATATTTATTATTCTAATTTCTCTAAATAATACAGTAATTTTTTCTTTCCAACAATTTTACAAAATAAACACACTAATTACAAATAATGAGATTTTTGTTGTTATATATTAAAAAATATGAATTTATTTTTTTAAGTAATTGTGATGATGATTGGATGAAATTTAATTTCTATTAATTTTGTCAAATATTTTGTGATCAAAGCTGTATTTTATTTTTAAAAAAAAAAATTATAGATAAAACCTTTATTTTAGAAAAAAAAATTGTAATAATTAAAAATAAACCATTAGTCGTAACTAAACATAGCATACTGTCAACTAGAAGTGTATAGCTCAAGCAATTGAACATTCTTTTGATATATCTGAGACAAGGGGTTCGTCCGGTGAATTTGTGACAGTCCATGTGTCCATGAATTAAAAATAAATAAATAAATAAAAACTTAGAATACCATAAATAAATATATACATTAATATTTGAGAAATATATTATATATAAAGAAATATACATATACGTGTATAAAGTTAAATAATCAATACTTTATAGCACAATGATTCTAACAAACAAATATTGTAAAATACGTTGTTTAATAATCAATATTTTATGTAATAATTCTAACAAATAAATAACGTAAAATACGATAATGTAATTTAATTATCAATATTTTATTCAACAATCATAACAAACAAATATTGTAAAATACGATAATGTCATTTAATAATCAATATCTTATACTCCATCCGTGTCATAATTATAGTCTTGATTGGGTTGGACATGAAATTTAAGAAATATTGACATTATATTGATAGTTGGTAAAAAGTATGGATAAAAAACTCTTTTACCCTTGCCAGTGTATTAGTGTAAAAAGTAGTGGCAATTGTGTAATAAAAATGAAAAAAGTAGGGGTAGTTTTATGGTGATATGGTTATTTATGAAAATAAGACTATTATTTTGGAACGGACAAAAATGGTAAATAAGACTATTGTATTGGGACGGAGAGAGTACAATAATTCTAACAAACAAATACGGTAAATACAATATTGTTTTTTAATAATCAATATTTTATACAATAATCCTAACAAACAGATATTGTGAAATACGAAAGTGATATTTATTATAAATAAATATTAAATGTACATAGAATAATTATTAAATGTTGATATTTTGATTATACCAAAATTAATAATACCGGAAATTTAATATTCTAGCAAAAAAAATAAAAAATAAAAAATAAAGGTGATAATAAAGTTGGTTCAAATATTTTATACTTATGATTATATTGTAGAAATTCATGATCAAAAGCTTGCATCAAAACTCATATGCTTTTCAAACATGAAAGTGATATATATATATATTTTTTCACCATCAATTTTTACATATCTCTTCAACAATGTGAAAAATCATATACAAGACTTCACATACTCGCTACTTACTATAGAGAATGCAATTACATACAAATTAGGAGGAAAAAATAAAATAAAAATTGGTTCAATTAAAGTAAAAAGTTGTCAATTTTTATTCAAATATATATATAAAAAAAATCAAATAATTTTAATCTCATTATAAATAATTTAATCAAGTTTGATCATATATTTAAAAACATTAATAGAAAATGATGATGTGGATGTAACGGATCTAATGTGATGACCCAACACAACCATATTTTTATAAATACGAACTTGTCAGTTTAGCATTTAAAAAGAATAATAAAATCTTATCAGTCATGATGCAAAAGGATGGAAAAGAAGAAATATAATGAAGGAAAAAAGAAAGAATATAATAATAATAAAAAAACGAATTTGGGATCTCAAGCCACAATGAAAACATTTCATCTTCATCATCAATGTTAGACAAAAGTAATTTTTAAATGCAAAACATGGGATTTTATTGTTTCTCATATCAGATTAATCCGAAGAAAACAAACACACTGATGAATATCAACTAAATTTTTCTATAAACATATAAGAATCAATCAATCAAATTCAAAAGTACCAAATTAAGAAGCAGACTGCACCATGACCAAGCCGATAGAAGTCACTGTCATGGCTCTATTAGTTGTTGGAGATGTAGTTCGGATCTCCGCCGCTGGATTCTCGGAGTTTTTCAAGAAGTATTGTGTGGATTTGGGGAGGAAACTCTCTCTATTTTGTCGCATTTGCTCGAAGAGATCAAAGACTTCGATAAATTTCCGGTGGTTTATGACTTATGAACCGATTCTTCTTCTCTCTTTGTCTCTCGCTTTGCTGATCTAAATCTAGTTCTTCATGCCGAGAAAGAACTCCTTGTCGCTGCTAACAACTTCGATGAGGCCGACCTCTCTAGGTGAGAATGGTATGGGAATACACTTGTTATGTATAATTTTTCTTTGTGCGTAGCTATTTTTTTCAATTTGTGAGTTGAAATAATTTGTATTGTATGTTGCATTTTGTAGATGAATTGTGCAAAATTTGTCTCTAAATTTGATGCTCTTGATTTTGATTGATTGATTCTTACATGTTCATAGCGAAATTTAGTTGATATTCATCGGTGTTTTTGTTTTCTTCAAATTGATCTGATTTGAGAAACGTTAAAATTCCAATAAGTTTTGTATCTAAGAATTACTTCTGTCTAATTTTGAGATTGAAGATAAAACTGTTTTCCTCTGTGGCTTGAAATCGCTTACTTGTTTTTGTTTCTTCTCATTATATATTTTTTTTTCCTTCCGTTTTCTCCCTCATTCTTCATCCTCTTGTACCACAGTGACAGGTAAGATTTATTTTTTGTAATATTGAATTAATATGGTCGCATTAATGTAAACACGGTCGTATTAGGTCACCATATCAGATCCGTTACATCGACATCATTATTTTTGTTATTTTTTTCACGTGTATCAAAATTGATTAAAATTATTTATGCGAAATGCCTATAACTCCCTTGTGGTTTCGAAACTCATCGTAAATTCTCTTGTACTTTAATATTTTATTTGTATGAGATCAATTTCGATTTTTTCCATCCATAGGATCAATCCCAACAACAATAACACACCAACATACGTACTCTTCAAGTACCATTCATCCATTTCAATTATCGGTCTACATCTAGCATGAACTTCTATTTCAAAGCATCAAAACAGACATAGAATCAATCAAATATAAATTTTTCACTATCATTTTAGTACATAACAAAATAGTACTCTATGATTACTTTTTCTCAATTCACTTTGTAATATCATAGATGGCTATATTGATACACGAGATTATCACTTATATATCTAAAACTTGTTACCTTATCCTTTAGGCCCGGTCTTTTCACACACTCACATTTAACTGTCTCGTAATATTTTTATCTAAAATCATGCATCTCTCACTTCATATCACATTTGAACTTGTCAGCAATTTTTTTGCTTATTCAAGAAATTTTAATATTTGTCACATTAAAAGAATGAATAAAAGATTGAGAATAACTAGGGTGTAGTATACTTACTTGAAAATCAATCTCATCATTCAACTTCAATGCATTATTTTCTACTCATACCTCGCTTATAGTCTACTTTTGTTAATTCTTATGAAACTCAAATTTCTCTTCTCTACAATTGCGTACGACTAGGTTGCCCTTTTAGTTCATTACTCGATTAGAAAACCATTCTTATTTCAAATATGAGCATATTCATCTACTGAATAAACTTTGAAAAAAATCACACCTCTATCTTCTTATGGCTTTTATATCTTTAGGCTTCACTAATTCATCCAACTCTCCATAAATTTCTACTATATTTTTCTGTATCACATCCATTTCAACTGTCACCTTTTATCCATTTATTATTACGATTCATTTGGCATGTTTCGTATTGTTCATTACATTTATAATATCACCACAATTCACGATTTCTTCGCAAACTATTTAATCTCTACTAACAACATCATTCTTCAACCATATGCCATCCTTATTTCCCTCACCCTAATCAAGTCTATCATCCTCAATCATTTCTAC